CTCTCTGAGCTGGAGACGAGCTGCGCGGATCCAGTCGATCAACACCTCAGTGACGTCACCCTTGCTGCGCAAGGGGAAGACCGTGGTGTAACGCGAGTAGTCGTCAACCACCAACAGGAAGTAACGCTCGTGACCCTGGCCACGGACGCGGGCGGGGCCCCACACGTCCATGTGAAGAGTCTGCAGGGGAGCCTCTGTCGGAGGAAACTCGGAGGAGTGAGGGACGGCGCGCTGCCGCCCCTCGACGCAGGGAACGCAGGTAGGGGCAGGCCCCGGAGGGAGGGGAGGGAGGGACCGGGGGAGACCAGATACAAGGACACGGGAGGCCATGCCTCGGAGACGAGGCAGGGAGGGGTGACCAAGGCGGTGGTGCCAAAGGAGAGTCTGGTGGGATAGGAGACGACACGAGCAGGGAGCAGACTCAGGACCAGACCTGGACGCTGCAGCAAACACCTGACTCGAAGCAGCTACCTGACCAGACTCAGCAACCAAAGGAGACTTTGTAGTCAGTGTGTACAGGCTCGACCCCGGCCGACGGGTAAACGTGGCCAAGTGTCGGCCAGTCCGAGCACACGTACAGTGGGTCACCCGCTGACTCGTAGGAGTGAACTGGTCAACCCCCCGATCCTGTAGATCAGCACCACTCACCAAGTTCGTAGAGAACGAGGGGAGGTAGAGACCTGACAGGGTGCCAGAGGGGGCTGCCGGACATGGTAAGACAGTGGAGAAGCTAGCAAGGTCAGGACCCCCGGAGGGGTCCGCCAGGGAGACCGCAACCGGCCGACTAAGCGGCGTAAGCGTGGTGCGGTCTCGAAAGAAGGAGCGGGAAGCACCCGAGTCAAGGGTGAAGGTGTGTAAGGCCTGAGCCGACGTGGTACCTGAGAGAGCAGACTCACCAGCACCTGGGGCAGCAGACGCACTAGCACCTAGAGCAGCAGCCTCAGCAGCACCTAGAGCAGCAGCCTCAATGCCCAGGTCAGGCGAAACATACAGGTAACAGTCACCCTCATCACTAGTAGACACAGCATACATGGCTGCAAGAATAGCATCATAGTCAAGATCAAAGATGGCAACCCCCGCCCTAGACAGCTCTCCCCAGCGAGGGATCTCAGTGGCGTCAGGGAACTAGTGACGCCAAGCGTCCGTCAGGCGGCCGAAGCAGCGCTGGGTGGAGTGCGAGCCCCCGCATTGCTCACCAGCGCGGTCGCCGGTACGGAGGACGTAGGTACAGGGACCAGTACCCCCACCTCGCTGACGCCCAGCGTACCACTCACGAAGCTGCTGGGGGGACGGGGTCTCATGAGTGCGCTGCTGCTGCTGGCGCTGACCACCACCTAATCCGCCCCGCTGCGCAGAGCCACCCCGACTAGCTCCACCTCCTCCGCCGCCACCTCCGCCATCGCCGCCACCGCCTCCTCCTCCGCTCCCACCGCCACCGCCGCCGCCGCCTCCGCCGCCACCCCTGCCACCGAAGCCCCCACCCCCGCCACCACTCCCACCACCACCCCCACTCCCTCCGCCTCCTCCACCTCTACCTCCACCGCCCCCGCCAGCCCCTCCAGCGCCCTTGCCCCCCTTGCCCTTGCCGGTGCGGCGTCGCCCACTAGGGGCAGACGCAGCGCCGACCGACTCGGTGCCAACGAAGTCGACGGCAGCAGCAGAGGCAACAGAGGTCAAAAGGGGGGAGGGGGAGCACCCCTCAAAGACAGGGACACGCGGGTCACCTCTAGAGGCTCCTACAGCGACTATACTCTTCTCAGCTGCCAGGAGGCGCTCCTCGAGGAGGTCAACGGTGAGTGTGGTGGGGCAAACAGAGAGGAAGTGGTTCCTGACCGAGCGAAGGGAGTCAGGGAGCCAGGTGACTATGTAGTAGAGGGTGATGTACATGGGGGGGGGGGTTCTTGGTGCAGAACTCAGCAGGAAGCGCAGCACGGTAGCGGGTGTCACTAGTGCGAAGGTGTGTAACGAGGTCAGCGACAGTGGGAAAGGCGGCGAGGTCAGGAAACAGGTACGGCAGTATGAGGCGGCTAAGAGCAGCAGTGGCAGGGGAAGAGTAGCGTGCAACTACAGCGTCGTATAAGGTCTTAGCACTCTTTTACTGACTAAAGTGCGCACGCTCGGTAAGTGGCGACGCACAGCAAGACGGGCAGCAGCATCGCGGGTGGCCCACTGTGAGCGGACAGTGCTGTCAGCATCAGCAGGCGGGGCAGGAGAGGCACCAGAGGTGAGATCGAACAGGGAGAGTCCGTCCGCCCTATCGCACTGTAGGAAAAGCTGTAGGTCATCTACCCAGACCTTGAAGTCAACAGCACGACCCTCAGCATCAAAGGTAAGGACACTGGGGGTAGCCATGACAGTATTGGTCTAGTAGGGAGTGCTCTCACCAGTCCGGGTGGGCAGGGCCGGGGCGCGCCGGAAGGAACAGGGCGGCAACCGCGGTAGCAGCGGCTCGGCAGTGGCTCGGTAGTGGCGGCTCGACGGCTCAGCGGCTCGGCTGCTGGGCGGCTCGGCGGCTCGGCTGCTGGGCGGCTCGGCAGCTCGGCGGTTCGGCGGCTCGGCTGCTGGGCGGCTCGGCGGCTTGGCTGCTGGGCGGCTCGGCGGCTCGGCGGTTTGGCGGCTCGGCTGCTGGGCGGCTCGGCGGCTCGGCTGCTGGGCGGCTCGGCTGGTCGGTAGGGGCGGCGACGGGGCCGCGTGGGGGCGGGGACGGGGCCGTGTAGAGTCGGCGACGGGGCCGCTAGGGGCGGCGACGGGGCCGGTAGGGGCAGCGACGGGGCCGCGTAGGGGCGGCGACGGGGCCGCTAGGGGTGGCGACGGTGCCGCGTAGGGGCGGCGACGGGGCTGCGTAGGGGGGGGGGGCAGCGACGGGGCCGCTAGGGGCGGCGACGGGGCCGCGTAGGGGCGGCGACGGGGCCGCGTAGGGGCGGGGATGGGGCCGCTAGGGGCGGCGACGGGGCCGGTAGGGGCGGCGGCGGGGCCGCTAGGGGCGGGGACGGGGCCGCGAGGGGCGGCGACGGGGTCGCGAGGGGCCTCCTGGAGGGCTCGACAGAAGGGCGGCCCACGGGGCGCGCCTCGGGCAGGAGCGATTGGCGCTCCGGTCTGAAAAAATTTCAGTGGTGGGCCCAAGGAAGCGTTCCCACTAGGGAACCTGCTCTGATACCATGTGAAGAAATGAGGAAGGAATGAATGAACTAGCAAGAAGGTGGGTACATGTAGGAAAACCTAAATGTGTTGTACCCCCTATTGTCTACCCCACTACAGCCTACACAGACTATAGCATATGAGTTTGACACACCGACGACGCCAAGGCAAGATATTACAACGAATCTCTGATGGCGTATGGGGTGCTCCTGCGGAACATGTCGCCGGCGGAGCAATTGAGCATCCGCTCATACAAAACATCGGCCGCTCCAGCCCTCAACGCATGGCGCCATCTCAACAGCGTATATCAGCCGAAGGACTCAGTCTCTTCGAGCCGGCTGCTCCAGCAGCTACTGGAAACTAAAATGGTCCCAGGGGAGAAGGCCAACAGCTACATCAATCGCAGTCGGAGCCTTCGCGACCAAATCGCGAAGCTGGGAAGCTCGATCTCGGAGGAAAATTTCGTTAATATCGTGCTTCAAGGGCTCGGCCCAGAGTGGCGGCCCTGCAAGGCGCTTCTCCGACAGCAGGGGGTCATCTCGGAGGCTGCCCTTTGCGCCGCCCTTCTCGTCGAACAAAGGGATATGGATCAGCAGCGACCAGCGCCACGATGAGAACGTGAACGGCTCGCCTTCTATGCCGACAACAACGAAGAGCGAAGACTGCGGCACCTCTACTGCAAAATCTGCAGAAACTTCAGGCATTTGGCGGATCGATGCAAGTCCCGATCTCGCCCTCGCCAGACCAATCCGAGTAACTGGTCCGGCCCACAAGACGCACGAGGCGACGTGCGTCCAGCCCAGGGGTATCAACCCCCACCCGCGCGCAACCTGAACCCAGCGGTTCAGCATCAGCAGCAGCAGCCGTCATGGACTGCCCCATTACGCAACGTCATGAGCAATATGGCCATGACAAGCGAGTCGCGTCGTCGCCGCGTGCGCTCACCTTCGCCTGAGCCAGCACCGCACCCCATTGGCGCGTTCTCCAACAACAACCCGTTCAGTGAGCGCCGCGACTTCACCGACGACGACGACCAGGACTGGAATCTTACAGTCCCCCTGCTTGAAAGTCCCCCGCACGTACTTGATATGCGGGTGGCGCCACTCTGTGAAAAACGAGAATGAAGAAGAGAGGAGGTTCACTAGCAAGCAATTGAGTACATATAGGAAACCCTAAGTTGGGCTGTACTCACTATTGAGTACCCCACTGCATGCTAGACAAACATAACATTCTGACACACCCCCATAGCCAAAGTGGGGTGTAATCAGCACAATGAGCAAGCAGGCATAGAGCAGGGATTCACAATAGCGAGCAAAGCTAGAGTCATTCACAAAGGGCAAGTGAGGAGGAGGAGGCGAGACTGTAAGAGGAGAGGAGATAGGAGGCGACGGCTGAAGGTGCAGACACACGGGCAACAGGAGTCACACTGGCACAGCGGCTACCGGAACAGCGCTTCGGACTACTAGAGTAACTGGCTCCGCGGCTAAGACTAGCGGCAGACGAGCAACGGACCCACGGGCGACTGGCACAGCTGGCTACGACTGGGCTACCGGAGCAGCGCCCCGGACTACTGGTGCTGCTGACGACACGACGACAACCTCCGTTCAACCAACCTCCTCCAGCTGCCCCACACCTCTCGACACACACCCCCTGCTCAAACCCTAGCTCCACTCCCATAGCACCCCCCTTACACCCTAAACCGCAGGCTCACACACATCCACCTCCCTCAAAACCCTAGCTCCACTCCCACAGCACCCCCCTTAAACCCTAAACCCCATGCTCCCACACATCCACCCCCCTCAGCGACAGCTGCAGCAGTGGGAGACGAAGGAGGAGGAGGAGCAGGGGAGACCACACACCCGTCACCCCCTACTCGCCACCCCCAGACCCTAACGCAGGGCAGGGCGGGACGGCGGGTATGGAGGTTAGGGGGGGGGGGGGGGGGGGGGGGGGGGGGGGCGACGCGCGATCTCCCAGGGCGCCAAAACAGGCGGCAGAAGGGGCGATGCTCGCCCCCCTCCCCCAGGTCGCGGCCCCCGAAGGAGCCGCGACGGGCGACGGGACAAGGGGGGGGGGGGGGGGGGGGGGGGGGGGGGGGGGCGTGCACGTGCCCCTGGTGCGCCGCGGCTGGCGACGGGGCATGGCCGGGGCGGGGCCGGGGCAGGGTCGAGGAGGGGCCGAAAGGGGCGGCGACGGGGCCGCAAGTGGCGGCGACGGGGCCGCTGGAGGCGGCGACGGGGCCGATAGGGGCGGCGACGGGGCCGCTAGGGTCGGCGACGGGGCCGCTGGCGGCGACGGGGCCGCTGGCGGCGGCGACGGGGCCAATAGGGGCGGCGACGGGGCCGTTAGGGGCGGCGACGGGGCCGCTGGCGGCGGCGACGGGGCCGATAGGGGCGGCGACGGGGCCGCGAAGGGGCCGCGAGGGGTTTGAGAGGTCGGCGACGGGGCCGCTGGCGGCGGCGACGGGGCCGATAGGGGCGGCGGAGGGGCCGCGAAGGGGCCGCGAGGGGCCTGGAAGGGCGGCGACGGGCCGCGAAGGGGCCGCGAGGGGCCTGAAAGGGGCGGCAACGGGGCCGTGAAGGGGCCGCGAGGGGCCGAGAAGGGCGGCGACGGGGCCGCGGGGGGTGTCGACGGGGCCACTAAGGGTCGCGCGAGGGGCACGCCACGGGGCGTGTAGTACACAGAGTAGCAGCGGAAGCAGTTAGGTGGGCCCACTGGCTGTTGGTGCAACCCTACGGTTTGCACTCGGCTTGTTGTCCGTGTGCGTGCATGTGTGTGTGTATGGAATGGTATGAGGGCATGGGATAATATATATTTCATGCTTATAATTGTGTGTGAATGTTGAGTCATGATGTCGAGTGTGTGTGTCGAGTCAATAGCGAGTTATCGCTAGACGCGTGTTACGCGGTCGTTTGTGTCTCGCGCGCGGTTTTTATTTTTGTCGTGCGCGGTTTCTATTTTGTCCTGTGTCGAACGTTCGGTGTGTCGCAGGTGTGTGCAGTAGACCCATCAAGAACTCAAGGATGAGTTTGTGATGAACAGCCCGAGCCTTGGTGTCAAGCCTCAAGTGATTTCGAAGCTCGCCAAAAGGGTACACCTCAAGATATTGAAGATAGTTACATTACTTTGTGTAGTGTAACATTTCACTTGGTGTAGGGCCTAGTGAAGGGTAGTTTCGAGACCCTTCGTGGTTGGGGACAGTGTGGCACTGTTCCACATCACTGTACCTCGGCTCTTGGGGTTTGTAGGAGCTGGGAGTCATTCCCAACTCGTAACTCTTCATATCTCTTCCTATTTTGTGTACTAAGACTATAGTGGCTGCCATAGTGCCGTTCGTTCAAACCGACACTCTGTCATCAATACTTGGTGAAATTGTGCGATCTAAATTGCCTATTGTAGGCGACGTTCAGACGCTCCAGATCCAAGTTGAATCAGGTCATTTGAAGTTGTGACCAGAACGCTATGAACGTTTGAAGCCGCTGTGCAGAAATCCGGCTATGCACTCTATCTTTCGTTTTAGGCACATTGGAGCCTACTGTGACTATAACAACACCCACGAGAAGTTTTTGGAAATTTACTCTCATTGGCGCAACTAGTCGAAGAAACTTACCGTGGAACAAGAAGAAGAATTGGCACGCCACGAAGCTAAGGAGCTTCGCCGCCAGAGTCTCACCAAGGCGCGCGGGACATTCGTCTGCGGCGCATGGGGAGCCGAAGAGGAGGAAAGCGCATCCAATGAAGGGGGGTGGGGAAGCGCTGGTGGATGGGGAACGAGCAACATCGGCGGAACCTGGGCCAACGCAAGCGGAGCTTGGGGTGCTGCAACTGGCGATGAAGGCAGAGGCTGGGGGACTTCCTGCGAAGAACAAAAAGGGGGAGAAGAAGAAGCAGAGGAAGCAGAGGCTACACCTGTAGTTGTTCCCCTTGGTCGCCCCCCGCGCCATGCCCCACTCGAGCTACCTCCTCCTGACAATCCGCCGCATCGAGACCCCTGGGACATTTGAAGTTGTGACCAGAACGCTATGAACGTTTGAAGCCGCTGTGCAGAAATCCGGCTGTGCACTCTATCTTTCGTTTTTAGGCACATTGGAGCCTATTGTGACTATAACACAGGCCAGGAGCGTAGTCGCTTTGATAGCATGTCAGAATCCTAACCACTAGACCATTGGGATAAAAGGGCTTGTTAAGTAGCGAGTCAGTGCGCCCATAACCCCCCAAGCCAACGTGCCTGTAACCCTTCCCTAGGATCAATCGGGGATCACCAGTGGACATCTGACACCCCCCCGCACTGGGATGCCCGAAGTGCATACACCGGGATTCAAACCCAAGACCTTCGCTCTGATACCATGTGAAAAACGAGAATGAAGAAGAGAGGAGGTTCACTAGCAAGCAGTTGAGTACATATAGGAAACCCTAAGTTGGGCTGTACTCACTATTGAGTACCCCACTGCAGGCTAGACAAACATAACATTCTGACACACTCGACTAGCTCTCGCGCGAGCAATTTTTGAAGTTCGACACCCCCGCACATCGTCACACCGCGACTGGCGCTGATCGCACGTGATGACAACAAGCGTTACAACACCTGGTACCTGGACAGCTGCTGCGGCCAGCATATGGTGTGCTCCACGCGTTACATATCCAACGCCGTCGCCACCCCCACAGTCACCTACGTCACCGTGGCCAACAACACCCGCCTGCGCGCAAGGCATCGTCGTGCTCAAGACAGGCGGAAGCCGCACGCACATCACGCTCAACAATGTGCTGATCGTCCAGAACCTACGCTTCAACTTGCTTTCCGCCGCACAGCTCATGGACTACGGCGTTGATCTCAGCACGGATCGCACAACACGCAACATCTTGCTGCACTACGAATCAAGGACTTTTCCCCGCAGGCAGATCGTACGAGCGCACTCCGAAAATGGAGTGTGCGTCCTGGATTTTGACATCCCCGACTGCAGCGGCGATTCGCACGAGCTAATCGGCCTCGTGCTACTGCGCTTCGAGCATATTCACCGCAGGGACTGGAAGCACCCTGACAGCAGACCGTGGGTGCCGCATCATCCCCACCCACGCGAAACAACGCTACACAACCTTGACGCAGACAGCATCTGCAGGGATTGTCACACGCCAACGGCGTCAACTAGCGCCATCGCCGGCCGCGGACTTGCCGCCATCGCCGAAGCCGAGCGGCATGCGCCGTTAGAGGAAGGAATGTCACAACTAGAGCTTGAAGTCACCACGCGGGGCGTGTTTGGCACGCCAGAACACCCTCTCATCGGACCCCCCTCCCAACACCTGCAAGGAATGCTGCGCGGTACTGGCGTCGGATCCTTTGATGCGCATGGCGTGCCGCGACCCTACACCCACGAGAAATTCTTTGAAATTTACCCTCGTCAACGTGACCCGTCGAAGAAACTTACCGTGGAGTAGGAAGAAGAACTGGTGCCGCGCGAAGCTGAGGAGCTTCACCAACAAAGCCACGCCGAAGCACGCGGGACATTCGCTTGCGGCACATGGGGAGCCGAAGCGGAAGAAAGCGCCTCCAATGAAGGGGGGTGGGGCAGCGCTGGTGGATGGGGAACGAGTGATACCGGCAGATGGCAAACCAGCGGCGGAACCTGGGCCAACGCAAGCGGGGGATGGGGCGCCGCAACTGGCGCCGACAACATCGGCTGGGGAACTTTCCGCGAAGAACAAAAGGGGGGAGAGGATGAAGCAGAGGAAACTAAGGCAACACCTGCAGTTGTTCCCCTTGGTCGTCCCCCGCGCCGCGCTCCACTCGCATTGCCCCCTACTGACAACCCAACGCAACGCGACCCCTGGGACACCATCGACTGGGGCAACGAGCCGTCAACTCCACGTCGCACCGTCTATGGACCTGCTCCCGAGTCACGCGAACCGACCTTTTTCCCCGGAACTATCCCTGGGACTAACATCCCCCACTCTGAGATTCGCGACAAAGAGTTTCTGGCGCTAATGCTGACTACCGCCAACGACGAAGATGAAGCAGCAGAAGAAGCACCAGCAGCACCTGCCCCCGTACCTGATGAGGATCTCGAAGAAGCTCGCGCATGCTTCATGCGCACTCCCGGCTTTCGCGCTGACGATGCGCTCTGGCATCAGCGTCTCGGACATCCTTCGCGTGCGACACTAAAGAACTGCATCGACGAAGGAGTCTTCGCTCCTGGGGCGCTGCTACGCCCAGACGGCACCGAAGTGAGAGGCACGACACATCCGCACAACTGCACCGTCTGCCTCGAAGCTGCGCTAAGCCACTAGCCGTTCCCGCTGCTCGAGCCAGGGACGAACCGCTACCCCAAGATGTACAAGGTGTACAGCGATTTCCTGAACGTGGGGCACTGCGGAGTCGATGATGAAATGTACACGCTTACCTTCATCGACGCCGGGACGCGCTATGTGTGGATCGTGAACGTTGAAACACACGACAGAGCCTATGAGGTGTTCCGCCTCTGGCTTGCCCACGCGCAGCGGCAATCCGGGGAGAAGTTGGAAATCTGGCAATCTAACGGCGGAAAGGAATTCAGGCACAATCAGATGCAGAGTTACCTCACGCAAAAGGGGATCGAGCACCATATTTCTCTCCCCTACGCACACCAGCAGCAGGGCGTAGCTGAGCGGACGAACCGCACGCTGATGACGAAGGTGCGAGCATTGATGAAGCAGTCAATACTGCCCCCGATCTACTGGACTTACGCGATGCACCACGCCGTGCGGGTGCACAACTTACTGTCAACCACCGCCATCACCGGCAACCTGTCCCCACACGTAAAGTGGACCGAGACCAAGGGAGACACGTCCATGCTCCACGTGTGGGGGTGCATGGTCCAATACCGCCCGCCAACGTCAACCATCGGCAAATTTGCCAGCCGCGCACGTTGGGGCATTCACCTCGGCATCAGCCACGAGCACAAGGCGTGGATCGTGCTGGACCTGCTCAGTCAGAAGACCACCCACGCTCGCGACGTGATTTTCTACGAATGCCTCTTCCTCGACCAGTTCCGCCACGACGAGCACACGAATGCAAACCGTGTTTATGCAAACGATGGGCACAGCTACGCAACGCCCGAGGACAAAGCCGCGGCAGCAATCCAGGAGCAGAACACCAGGGGCGAGTTGACACGGGGAGATCGCAGTAGCGATGACGACGACGGCGACTCCTCCGAAGGAGGAATGGGCGGAACAGGCGGAAGCGGCAATGGCGCAGCACCGTTTCAGGATGACAACGATGTGCAAGAAGTCATCCCGCAACGTCGCCACGACAGCACCGTTTCAGGATTGCAGTTGCTCGGGCTTCACACCGCAACCTCGAAGGCGCCACGTGTCATCGAGCCGCGAAACCCGCGCCAAGCTCGCACTCGACCACACAGCAAAGAATGGCGTGAGGCGATGGACGCGGAAATCAAGGCGCTCGAATCCCGAGACACCTGGGTGTTGGTCGACCATGCGGCAATCAAATGTGCAAGAGTTTGTCAGAATCCCAACCACTAGACCATTGGGATAAAAGGGCTTGTTTCAGTAGCGGGTCAGTGCGCCCATAACCCCCCAGGCAAACGCGCCTGTAACCCCCCCTAGGATCGATCGGGGATCTCACAGTGTAGCTCTACTGACACCCCCCCCACACTAGGAGGCCCAGGACTGAGCACAGTGGCAACAGCCAACATGTGCATACACCGGGATTCGAACCCGAGACCGCTCCGATACCATGTCAGAATCCCAACCACTAGACCATTGGGATAAAAGGGCTTGTTTCAGTAGCGGGTCAGTGCGCCCATAACCCCCCAGGCAAACGCGCCTGTAACCCCCCCTAGGATCGATCGGGGATCTCACAGTGTAGCTCTACTGACAGAGTTCTCTCGGGCAAATGGGTCTTCCGCGTGAAGACCGCAGCGGACGAAACGATCGAGCGTTTCAAGACGCGTTGGGTGGTACGCGGATACGACCAGAGGCACGGCATCGACTTCGATCAGACGTTCGCCCCAGTCAGCCGCCACACCTCCGTCCGAATCCTACTCGCCATCGCAGCCGCAAGGCACCTACCTCTCCGCCAGATTGACGTCAAGAATGCATTCCTGTACGCATTAGTAGAGGCCGTAATCTACGTGGAGTAGCCGCATACATACGGCGAAGGGGGCTCGCGTATGTGTCAACTGCGCAAGTCCCTTTACGGGATCAAGCAGGCACCGAGGCTATGGCAGCAGTATCTGCACAACATTTTGCTTGAAATCGGGTTCAAGCAGATGCCGCACGATCCTGGGATGTATCGCCGCAATTTCCGCGGCGAATACATTCTGCTCACGGTCTACGTCGACGACCTACTTAACACAGGATCGAGCAACGAACTGCTCGAGCAATTCAAGGAGGCTTTAGCGGGGCGCATCGACATCACATGCAACTATGAGGTGAAGCAGTTCTTAGGCCTCAACATCTCCTACGCGCCTGAGGCCATTCACCTCTCAGCGGCTAAGTACGCAGAGGAGTTAGGGAAGCGGTTCAACATTTCACCTGCATCGCTCTCCACTCCCTATCGAACTCCAGGACCGAACCACAAACCTTACAACAAAGCCCTATCCCCTGCTGGAGTTCAGATTTACCAGCAGCAGTTGGGATGCATGCTCTTTGCTTCTGTCACCTGCAGGCCAGACCTCTCCTACATCGCAAGTCAGCTGGCCCAGTACTCACGCAAACCAACGGCTGAGAATCTTCTGGATCTGCAGCGCGCCCTACAGTTCTCCATTTCAACGCCCAAGATTGGGCTGTGCTATTCAACTACACCAACCCCATCCTTCAACCTCATCGGCTACGTGGACGCCGATCACGCAGCAGATCCCGACAATCGACGGTCAAGGACTGGCTTCCTGTTCCGACTCGAACCAACAGGACCGATCTCCTGGAACTCGCAGAAGCAGGAGGTGGTTGCCTTGTCTTCAGCCGAAGCGGAATTCATTGCAGCAATCGCAGCAGTTCGCGAAGGCCTCTACCTACAGGAACTTCTGCAGGAGGCGAAAATCCCAGCTTCGCCCACCTTTCGCCTTCACTAAGACAGCCAGAGCGCGATTCGCATCGCAAACAAACCTGGTTTCGTCAACCGCACCAAGCACATTGCGCTGCGGTATTTCTTCGTGAAGGACGAAGTGGACAAGGGCAAGGTTGACTTGACCTACCGTATTACCCCGGACATACCACCCTAGGGTGCTATGATAACCACACAAAAAAAAGGGGGGGGGTCTTGTCATAGGAAAAAGCTACATTGCACCCGGGTCGTTACATAATGTATATTTTTTTAAGAGTACAAAAGGTTGAGAACAAAATGTACATGTTTGACGCGGTGGTAGATTGTTGGTTGGGTGCGCAAAACCGAGGACTGGGCGATAACGTTAGTCTCGTGGGTTAGCTGCCACATTGCAAGCTCCAACAAGGCCCACTGTCATGCCCTGATTGGTCGAAAACACACCCCCTCGTCGCTCGACAAGGATTCATGCAGTCACAAAGGCGGAGCGCCCGCAACAGCCTCAGCTGCCTCGCTGAGGCGGTCACGTCCTTGTATTGAGAAGGAGTTCATCCTTTCTGTGCAGTGGCTCCATTCCACAAACTCGAGCAATGCTCGGCAGAGTGTGCTAACACCAACTGCCTCCTCGAACCCTTTCCTAGCATAAATTCAGGGATGCCATGGCATGCGACACCAACGTTCACTAGGCTTACGGTAGATGGCTACCTCTCCAGACTCCAGTAGCACAGTGGTTAGGCGGCAGCGGCCTTCCGTCACCCAGTCACCCGCTGCTGTGGGCACATGGCGTTCGCCCCGGCCCGTCCAGCCGCAGCCGTCACCCCCCGTGAGTCGCGCCACCAACGATGAACCGAGCAGCAGCGCGACCCCTCCTATGCCGCTGCTGCCGAAGGTGAGGATTCCTTCCTTCCCGGAACAAACACGCCCCCAGGGACCTCCGAAGCGCAACGCGGATGCCGACGCTCCTTCCCCACGTCATCGCATGACGAAACGTGTTCGTCATGCGTACACCGCCAAGGAGAAGCTCCACTGGCTGAAACTGCAGGAATCGCAGCCGGACCTGTCAAATCGAGCTTTGGCCAAGCTGGCGAAGGTGCAGCCCTGCCAGATCCGCGAGTGGAAGCGGATGAAAGAGCGTCTGGGGGTCGCCTCTGGATGCCGCCGTCGCCTCATGGGAGCTGGGCGCCGCGCGAAGTACCCGTTCATGGAACGAGCCGTGTATCGGCAGTTTCTTAAGCACCGCGCTAAGGGACTCGCCGTATCGGTCAGCATGCTGCAGCAGTGGAGCGCCAAGTTCATGAAGCACCGGATGCCTGGCGTGATTTGGCGTGCTTCACAGCGCTGGACTAATCGTTTCCGCGCTCGCTGGCACCTGGCTCGACGTGTGAAAACGAAGATGGGCCAGAAGTTAGCTGCGGGTAAGCTGTCCTTGAATGGATGCATGTCTATCTGAGCTTTGCTACGGTAGCTCTTAATGTTTTCTCTGTGTTTTGTTGTGCGTGCAGATTGCAAGGCTAAGGTTGAATCCTTCTGGGAGTTCCTGACGCGAATGCGCACCCTTCACGACTACCCGCTCGACCTGATCGTGAACGCGGATCAGACTCCTCTTTTTTTGGAGATGCCGGCCGAGCGTACACTCGAAACGAAGGGAGCGCGGACGGTCCACGTGCGCACTGCCGGCTACGAGAAAGAACGCGTCACTGTCATGCTGGCAGTGACGGCGGGAGGGCTGAAGCTTCCTCCATATGTCATTTTCAAACGCAAAACCATTCCCAAAGTGCCCATCCCAGCTGGTAAGTATCCAGTTATTTCAATGTTCACTCTACCTTGTTGTATCCATTACTCCCTCTAACCACTCGCTCTCTTTGTGTTGTGAACGGCAGGTGTGGTCGTCCGTGCACAAGAGAAGGGGTGGATGGACGAAGGCCTTGTGCAGGACTGGATAACCCAGGTACTTGTGCCGTTTCTGAAGCCCATCCGCGAAAGAGACGGACGCCGCAGGGAGGCGTTGGTCGTCCTGGACTCCTACCGCGGCCATTTGACCGAAGCCGTCGGTCAAACCATGCGAATGTTCCGTTTGACGCGGGCGGTCATCCCGGGGGGGTGCACCCCGCTTCTGCAGCCGCTAGACGTGTTCGTGAATCGCGCGTTCAAGGCCGGTACGCGTCACCGCTATGGCACCTGGTTTGAAGACATCGGGATCAACACGAGGACGCGTGCAGGTGAGATGGTCCCTTGCTTTCCGATCGTGTTGTTGTGCATGCGTGCCTGTGTATTTCATCAAACAACTCGGTGCGTGCCTTGCCCATCCCTCACGCAATCTGCAAAAGCCTCCCGCGGAGACGGTTCAGAAGTGGATCGACGAGTCCTGGCAGGAGGTCCCAGAGGAGCTGATCAGGAAGTCCTTTGTCACCTGCGGGATTTCCACCAAGCCCGACGGCAGCGAAGACCACCTCGTCCTCGCACACCTGCGGGACAAGGGTGAGGTGGAAGTGCTGGAGGATGTGAACGAGATGGTTGAAGACGAGGTCATCCCCAACCCCTACTTCGAGGAGGCCCGCGTGCCGGAGGAGGTGCTGCAGGCGGACGACGACGCCATGCATGTGGAGCAGGACGAAGAGGATGCGGATGCGGAAGACGGAGATGGGGAAGGGTACGGGGCTGGAGAAGATGGGGATGCAGATGAGTGGAGCGAGGCCGGCTCTGACTGGTGGCTCCCCGACCGCTTTGACATAGAGGAGGTTGAGGAATGGCATGCTGGGGACGATTCCTAGGAGGAAGGGCTTCTTCTGTATAGGTAGATACCGTAGCATTCTGTCTGGTTGGTAGTAGGCCCCATCTGAATGAAGGAAAGACTGATGGGAGTGATATCGCTGTATAGCGTCAAACGTAGCTTGTTTGTGCAGAAAGTTAACATGTACATGGTTAATCATTGGAAATCCATTGCTATTTTGGCAAAAACTGCATTATTACCCGTACATAACACCCCCCCCCGGGTGCTATATCGGATCGCCCCAAAAGGGGGGGTATAGTAGAAATGAGGCCCGCTATAGCACCCCCCCCGCACAAGCCACCCGGGGGGTGCTCTATTTCGGCGGGTGGTATGTCCGGGGTAATACGGTATTGCTCGACCGGTGACATGGCAACAGACTTTTTCACGAAGCGACTGCCACGCCAGCAGTATCAACACTGCTCCGAACTCAGCGGCGCGGTCAAGCAGGTCAAGTCGAGCTACGGCCAGGAGTGAAGGGGGGTATTACGAATAGCAATGAATGAAGATTACAGTGCACTCCCGACCTCAGCTGACTCGAAACGTTAGACGATTGAGATGCATCTGGACCGTCGGAGCAGATGGCATCGGGCAGCTGCAGGCAGAAGGATTCTGGCGGGAGGAACAGTTTCGTAACTGTACGCACCGCACGGTTGGGAACGAATTCGAATAAGGGAATGTACCCCTTAGAGTACATGGCTAGCTAGGTCGATTCATATTCCCCTGTACTCTTATTTATATCGTTGTATTTGCATATTTAGAAAGCTTGCTTTCGAAATACGTAATTTTGAAAAACACTTCGTGTGTTTAAAATTATAATGTTTTGATTATCTCAAGCATTTTACATTCACTCTGCTATTGAGGTCAAAGGCCCACCACCACCAGACTAGAGGTGTGCGAACCTTCTTGAGGTGATCCTGGTTACGATCTATTTCTGATCGCAGCAAATGTTTCAGTGATTACTATTCGTAACAATATTTTGTATTGGTCAATATATCAACATAGTATTAGCATGATTTACTACTTCTAGTACATTGATTGTCACCTGACATGACACTGCTAAAAGGCTTCCTCCTAACTGATCTTTATAATAAATTGCAAAGCTTACACATAAGCATTCAAGCTGCCCTCCTCTGTGTAGCCTACGATGGCGGGTTCTGAGGAGTGATGACAATCTGCACGAAAAGGGTGCAGCACGGTGAATACATGATCAACAAGGACGTGGAGCATGAGAAAGTGCGCATAGAGAAAAGCATCAAAGGGTACAGATCAAGAGTGTGCACTTACCCTCTGTTTGTCTTTCATGCAATGGCTGAAGATGCCTGAGATGAAGTAAGTGGTGCCTGTAATGGGGTTACTGTAACAACCGGCCCCTGCGCCGTCTGTAGAGTTGCAGTAAGAGATATAGTTCGAGTAGTCACAGTTCTTGTAATCCGTCAGTGACGGCACGATGAAGACCTCGTCCTTGTATGGAGGATATTTGAAAACTGCAGAAGGGGATTCGGCATTCACAGTGCCAGAAAAAAAGTTCCTTCTTACTTAAGAATGGTTATGTTTGAGTCGACTCAGAACTCACCCAAGTGAGCGAAGAGGAAGCAAGCAGAAACTTAGAACAGGCAGAAACATGTAAACTCACCGACTGTATCGCCCTTGTAGACCTTGTTGTACTGCAGCCACCTGTCGTACTGCCCGTTGGGGTTCCAGTTCCAATTGAACTGCGACGACGGGTAACCAACTGCAAGAGTTCGCGGCGTGTATGGCTTCGCGTTCGCCTTCACGGCGAGCTTCTGCCCCGCCATGCAGTTACCGTAAAGCCCAGAGGCGTAATACGCCATTGTTCGGGTAACCTTGATTGAGCAACCCGACTTGGAGCCCCAGCTGTCGTAGCAAACCACCTTCGCGGCGCGGAAGTTGCACGAGCGGTAGTCGCCGTAGCGCGCGAACTGGACCACCTCCTGATGGTAGTTCGGATACTTGAACACTGTGGGTTCCATGGGATGACGAGGTGGGAGGAGATTGGGGGAAATATAAGCGGACGATACAGCGAGTAAGTGGAGCGGTTCAATCCAATACAGAACGGCATCCGTCAAGAAGCATAGATCCCCCTCCATAGACTTCTCAAACCAACCCCCTCTTCCCCTCTCCCGCCTTGCCTTTCCTCCCTCGCCCGCCTGCCCATCTGCCGCCCATTGCACTCACGGATAACGTCGCCGTCGTAGAGCTTGCTCTTGGCGACCCAGCTATTGTAGTTAACCTGCGGGTTGAACGGGTAGTTATAGCTCGGCGTCGGGTTCCCCACCACGATCGACCGCCCGGATGCCCGAGTCGTCGCGAGGGGCGGCACCAGCGCGTTACCCGAGCCGCTGTCCGAGAGAAGGACGGCGTCAGGAGAACCTGGAGACGAGGAGGATGCCTTGCCGTCGGTCGTAGGCAGCGGGACAGAACTGTCTTCGGTCGACACGTTTCCAATCGGCCCGTGCGACAGAGTCCCAGCCAGCCTCACTCCTTTCGCACCCGGCCCCGTCTGGTTGTGCGCGGCGGATTGCGACGCGTTGTCATCCGCGGCGTTCTCGTCGCCGGCGCCTTCGCCTGCCGTCGTCCCGTTGTCGCCTGCGACCGGCGGATCGACCACAGCAGCAGCTTTGCTAGATTCGTCATTGCCCAGTCCTCCATTGTCGATGGTCGTCTCGACAACGAGCTGTGACAGTGGCACGAGTCACACACGTCAACGAAGGATGGGGGAAAATCGGAGAAAGAGAAAAAGCCATTGTGAATTCTGACGGACATGGATTGTGACGGATCGAGAGAGAAAAGCGAGAACGAACCGACACGCCACTCGGGCGATGAAAGTTTAACGTTCGTTGCACTTCCTCAAACGCACATTCCAACTCTTCATTCCAAAAAGAGTTGCACCCTTCTACCATCTCACTCAACCATTTTTTCACTGCACTCTCTCAGTCCATTCTGGCTCGGTATCACCGTCACCGTGATCGTCACTGTTTCCGTCAGTCGCGCTCACCTGTTGTCCCATGTCGCAGTGTGTTTTGATCGACGTGATGTACATAGGTCCCGATTCCACCGTCACGGTGCAAGCGCTAGCCGCGCCGTCTTTCCCGGGCCGGCTTCCGCGGAGTGAATCGCAGAGCACCTTCGCGTTCTTGAGATGACACGAGGCGAGATCCTTGGCACTGGCCATTTGATACACCACCTCGGCGCGCTTCGGATATTCGAACACTGTTGAATGGAAATGGTGGCGGGTCCAAGGTGGGAGCAGAAGAGAATGGTCGTGGGAATAGCTAACTTAAATATCTTATTTCCAGCATTCCGTATTGCGTGCAAGAATCAAAAGCCGACGCGTAAGGAGATACGAGGAAATCTCCTGACTATTCAGTGGAGTGATAGAGGAGATTCCGAAGCGATCTTATCCGTACCGAGGACGTCGCCAGGTCGAAGCGGCGTTTCAGCAGCCCAGTTGGTGTAGTTAACGGCTGGGTTCCATCCATAGCTGTATCCGCCCACGCCTGCCTCTCCCACAGTCACGATCCGAGCCGCACACGCTGCCACTAGTGCTGCCAGAAGCGCGCAGCGGAGAAGGCACGGCTGGTTTACGACTGTCATGGTTGCCGGTTTACGGCACGTAATCACGGGCGTCGGTTGATAAACAAGTCTAAATCTTAGCGAGATTACAAAAGCTAAGTGACCTGCTGAAGGCAGCAAATGAATTGGATGGAAGCTAGGCGATTTCGTGGAAGTTAAAGCTCTATCCTAACGACTGTAGCGACTTGTGCATCTAGTTCGAAGCGATAACTCAGGTTAAGGAGAGCAGCAAGAGTCCATGGAAGAAAAGGCTGTGGCTAAGGATATGATGACTAGTATGCCAGACTGAAGCTTCCCAAGCTTCTGAGCATGATGTGTTTCGAGCTCCCGGAAATCGTGAATGATTTGATTGCTTCTCCTTGACGGTGCTGGAGCTGATAGTGGAGAGACGTCCGAAGCAACGATCAGTCGGTCCGTGCGTATGTTCTTGAAAGCGCGATATGGTGGTGCCGTTCCGCGAAAAAGGTATGATGTGCTGAATGTGATGCGAGTGTCGGCTCAGGAGCACGCGGCCGAGGGGTAACGAGGGGGGCGGAGGGAGCCTTGACAGTACGGAGGGAGAATAGCTTCCAGACCAAGTTCAGAGGCAGTCAGCTCGTTGCGGGAATGCGCGGGGGGAATTTGAAGGGCATCAAAGGCTCGGGAGGCGAGGGAAAGCAAGTAGCAGACTAAGGTCGGAGCAGCAGATCCCACGCCACAATTTCCTGCTAGCCGTAGATGTGAGATGACATCCGAGTCGCTCGCGACAGGGGCTGTGAAATTTGCATTGGCTTTGTGTCTCCGCGGCTCGGCAGAGTGCGATGTGCTTTTCCCGCCTGTGTCGCCACTGCAGCGGCAGTGTCGGGATGGCGCGTGGATGTGCTTCGTGTTGGCAAGCAACGGAGCAATTTGACTTTCCGCTGGCTGGGCGTGTCAGCAGAAATCTGGGATTTGCGCATAGCTATGAAGCGGTGTGAACAAACGAATAATATTTGATAAATAACATCTTCAGAGTACACTCGCAACGATTGATTCTAGAATATCGTCCAGCCTGTTAGTTTCTAGCTATAGCAAATTATCAAGATTACCTAGCATCCTGGCTTGCAAGACTACCTCACTTCTATCCTCCCAGGATGACTAAACCTAGTCAGGAACTTGCCAGACAATTCATAACAAGCATTTAACCAATCAAAACGTCATATTGGTAATCCATCTACACCGTCAAGCCCATTATGAAAATCTTCTGCAGCCCTGCAGCGCCTCCCACTCACCAAGAGCATATTGCCACACAACCTTGTCATGTCATCAACCACACCAATGGTGGTGGTGCTCACGGGGCAACCTGGCTCACCTAAAATAGCAAGCCACCGCCCACACCTTCCCGCCCCCACGCCTTCTTCGTCTCTCCCCCTCTTCAGGGTAGACCACCAGACCAAAATCAGCTAATCATCTATGTGTGTTGCTCTTTAGACCTTACTACCAGGGCTAATAAGAGACTCTCAACACTGAGCGCTCCACAACCAACCACCACCACCACAACCACCACCACCACCACCACCACCACCACCACCGCAAACTACTATAAAAGCTTCCACTCTTACCACTACCACCACCATAAGCATGCTAAGCTTTTCCACCAGCACCACCACCACCATCACCATAGTCACTAAATGTTCTTATACCACCACAACAGTCATGCCATGCTTTCCCCCCTCACCCCTGACCTGCACCTGCCCCTCCCCCTCCCTCCTGCCCTTCCTGTCCATACCCGCCCCCTCCCTCATACCCCCCTTGCCCCTGCTGCCCATACCCCCCACCGTACCCCCCCTGCTGCTGCCCCCCTCCCCCCTGCCCCTGCTGCTGCGCATACGGATCCATTCCCCCCTGCTGATTGTAATAGTCATATCCGCCCCCTTGCTGCTGTCCCCCATAGTAGCCTCCCCCCTGCTGTGCATACTGCTGCTGTCCATACCCCCCTTCCTGCTGCCCATATCCTTCTCCCGCTGCTGCCCCTCCTCCTGCTGCTGCTCCGCCCCCTTCGCCCCCTCCCCCTTGCTGCCCATACCCCCCACCACCTTGGTTGTTGTAATACCCACCGCCCTGCCCCCCCTGCCCCCCATACCCATACCCGCCATCCGCTCCCCCTTCCGCCCCTCCTGCATTCCCATTCCCCGCTCCTGCTTCCCCTCCTGCGCCCTGCCCACCGCCCTGCCCCTGCCCATAATAATCGTACCCTCCCCCTCCTCCCTGCCCCATCCCCCCTGCTCCCCCCTGCTGGCCCCAGCCTTCTCCCACGCCTCCATACTCCCCTCCACCTTGCTGCCCGTACCCCCCATACCCTCCCCCGCCCCCTTGCCCCCCGTAGTGCCCGCCCCCATACTGCCCTGCTCCACCGTACCCCCCTCCCTGCTGCCATCCCTGCTGCCCCCCTCCCCCTCCCCCTCCCCCTCCCCCTCCCTGCCACTGCTGCTGTTGACGAAATCCCCCTCCAAATCCGGGCCCTCCGCGGCGGTTAGACTGGAGAAACAGCAAGGGGAACAAAAGGAGGGGGAATGGAGGATGCAAAGGGGAACAGCACGGGGGGAGAAGGAGGGCGCAAGGGGAACAAGGGAGGGGAAGTGGGAAGAGTGATGAGCGCCGGGGGAAAGGGGGATGGAAAGATGAAGGGGAAGAGGGGGGAGGAGGAGCAAAACGGAAGAGGGGGCGCGCAGGACAAGAGGAAAGAATATGGAGGATACGAAGGGGAACAGCAGGGGCGAGAAGGGGGGCGGACGGGGAACAATGGAGGGGAAAAGGAAACAGTAATGAGCGCCGGGCGAAAGGGAGACGGAAAGGCGGAGGGGACGAGGGGAAAGGAGGAGGAAATTGGAAGAGAGGGGTGGTGACAAAGGGAGGGTGGCAAGGGGAGGGTGGCAAGGGTAGAGCAGCGGCTGCAGAAAGCAGTGACACGTGCGTGTGCACCTCTGTTGCATGTGCGTCGCCCAACTGACTGCGCCCCACGGCACCCCACTGCGCCCCACGGCGCCCCACGGTGCCCCACGGTGCCCCACGGTGCCCCACAGTGCCCCACGGTGCCCCACCGCACATACGTTGTCAAGCACCATTCGGATGAGCTCCTGAGCGGCGTCCGTCTGCTGCTTCGTGCCCATCAGCATCACCGTTAGTACCACTGTTGCATGTGCGTCGACCCACTGCGCCCCGGTACACCCATTTTATGTCCCACAGCGCCCGTAAGCACCCCACAGCGCCCCACTGCACCCCACTGCGCCCAACTGCGTGCGTGTGAACGTACCTCGTCGAGCACTTCCCGGATGAGCTCCTGAGCGGCGTCCGTCTGCTGCTTGGTGCCCATCAGCATCACCGTTCGCTCCATGCTCCCCGGCTGCACCTCCCTGTCGCTCTGAATCTGCACCGCACCATGCCATGCCATGCCACGTAATGCCATGCCACGTCATGCCATGACACGCCATGCCATGACACGCCATTCCATGCCATGCCATGCCATGCCATGCCACGCCATGCCATGCCATGCCATGCCACGACATTCCATGCCATGCAACCGCGCATGGGGGCAGAAGCAGAGGAAGACGGCAGAGGAAGAGGCAGGGCAGTTGAGAGCGCAAGAATGGGCATTGATGCCGGCAAGAGAGAGCGGGTGCAGAGCGCATACTTGCGGGCAAACGAGCACAGAGCGAGGCGCGAGGAGCGAGGAGCGAAGAGTAAGGTGCAAGAGAGGGAAACACCACACGAGCAAGAGAGGGAAACACCACACGAGCAAGAGAGGGAAACACCACACGAGCAAGAGAGGGAAACACCACACGGGCAAGAGAGTACACGAGTGCACGAGCACACGAGCACGTGCCTGGATGCGAGCGCCTGAGCGATTCTGGAGGTTCTTTATGGTCTCACCGCCCCGACCAATGATGAGCCCCACCTGAGTGATGGGCGCAAACAGAGTGAGGGGAAGGGGGAATGGGGAAGGAGAAATGGGGGATGGACGCACGGAGGGCGTGGGGTGGGGAGGAGGGTTGCAAGGAAGGATTGGTGGGAAGAGGGAGCAATGAGACGCTTTAGCCAGATTAGCAACGGGAGGAAACTAGCACCGCGGGTGCCAACATGCGGACACGAAGCGACACAAAAGGAGACTCTTGAACCATCAAATCAATAATGGGTCCACGAACAAACTAACAGACAAGGAAGCGAAACAAGAAAACGGCATTGGTGTGTGTGCGACTCACCCGACCGTTGGGGATCTGAATCGACACGGACTCGCTACTCCCAGCAAATGCCCTGCCGCCGCCCGCTGCCTGGTGCTTGAGGGGTGACGGGGACAAGGCGCATACGGCAGAACGGGGGATAAAGAGCGGTTCAAAGGGTGCAGGTTCGACTCAGGCACGGAAGATAGGAAACAAAAAAACGATGTTAACAGGGGAATGATAAAAAGCCCAGTGTCCTCTTCTTTTCCCCACCTTTCACCCCGCTCCCCGCCCTCCCCACAATCCCCGCCTTCCCAACACCCACCCTCCCCTCCTGTCCCCACTCCCCCCTTCCCCTTCCCCCTTCCCCTTCCCCCTCCCCCTCCCCCCTCCCCCCTCCCCCCTCCCCCGGACCATTGCGCACTCACCTCGTCCAGCACCTGGCGGATAAGAACCTCCGCCTGCGCCATCTGCTCCGGAGTCCCCATGAGCTCCACGGACCGCAACGCGGAGCGCGGGTCCGCGTCCGCGTCGCGCGTGACCTGGATCTTCGCGCCCGACTGCGCCTGCAGGTACTTGATCGTCTCCCCCGCCTTGCCGATCACCAACCCCACCTGCGCGCGGAGGAGGGAAAGGCGCGGAGAAAAGCGCGGGGAGGGGCGCGGGGAAAAACGCGGGCGGCAGGCGCGGGGAGTGTTCTGAGCGGAACAAAAAAAAAGACTGCGCCTGCAGGTACTCGATCGTCTCGCCCGCCTTGCCGATCACCAATCCCACCTGCGCGCGGAGGAAATGGCGCGGGGAAAGGCAGGAAGAGAGGCGCGGGGAGAGGCGGGGAGGAAAGGCGCGGGGAACGGTGCAGCGGAAGGCGGGGACGCTCATTCAAGCCGAAAGGGGAAGCGAGGGATGGGGAGGACGCAAGGGGGAAAGAGGAAGAGATGGAAAGGAGAGGGGGACGCGAGAGGAGATGGGAAAAGGAGGGAAGAAATGAGATGAGAGGGGAACGACGGAGGGCAATGTGGAAATCACGAGCTCGTGCGCTTGATGATCGCACACAAGATATGGTAGCGAGCGATAATGAGAAAGAGATGGAGAGGGTTGAAGAGGTGCGGAGACGGGCGGAATGAGAACCTTGGAGTTAGGAACGTCGATCTTCCTGCTGCCGCTTTGCTGATCGTAGTAACCAGACTGCTGCTGCTGCTGGTAATAACCATGGCCCTGTTGCTGCTGCTCGCCTGCATATTAACACCACAAGGCCACGTGGCACCTCTTTTAGTATCGCTCTCTGCTTAATCTGCTCTCTTAGTCTCTCTCCGCATTGGATCGTCGTTACACTCACACCAATAGCAAAAAAAAAAAAGTAATTACACTAGGAACCAAGAAATGAGAACATGTGTAAAATAAAAAAAGGGATATTTGCTGCTTACCGCCCATCCCAGGAGGGCCCTGGCCGCCGCCGTATCCCGAATATCCTCCCGGAGGCCCTCCCGCCTGTCCCCCCATCGGTCCCCCCATTGGTCCCCCCATAGGTCCCCCCATCGGTCCCCCCATCGGTCCCCCCATAGGTCCCCCCATAGGTCCTCCAATCTGTCCCCCCATTCCCGGCGGCCCTCCGGTTCCTGAGGCCCCGCCGCCACCAGGCACGGAGCCCGGCGCTGCTTGCGCCGCACCCGCCGCTCCCTCAGCAGCAGGCGGTTCATCGAACTTAGACCGCTTCGCGCCGGTGTTTAAGAACTTAGCCGCAAGCTCTTCCGCTTTGCGCTTCGCCTGATCGAACTCGGAAGCGGGAGGCGGAACCGAGGAGTACGCGCCGCCGGCAGACTGTTCCGCTCCCTCCGCGGCCGGCGCGGAGCCGTCGGTCGGCGCGCGATCATCAGATTCCCTCTTTCCTGCGCCGTCTGGCTGCGACGCAGGTGCGGAGCCTGGCGCTTCCTCGGCCATGGCAAGTCCAGATCAGATCCAACTCCAAAAAAAAGAGTTTACGTCGGGACGGGGAGAGGTGAGTGGGGAAAGTGGTTGAGATATGAGCATAAAAGAGGGGGATAAGGGGGAGTGAGAAAGGGCAGAAGGCGGATATGGTGAATCGATGGGGGAAGAAATGAGAGGGGGAAATGGGGGAGGTAAGGGGAGGGGAGGGGAGTTGATTGAGATGCGGAATCGTTGGAAGACAAAGGGGAGAGTGGGGGGTATCGCGGAAAAGGTCGGGGTTGTGAGTTCGGGCGGGAGACTTCTTCACTTAAGGATTCCAGAGGGTTCCAGAGGGGTCGGGAATGTAACCAACTAAACGAGAATTTCACAACATATAGCAATAATTTATGGTGTTGAAACTCAAGCTCGCTTGGGTTAATGACGGATCATACTCAAGCGACTCTTTGGGGGTGTAACATGTGCGCAAGAACTACGCTGGGTCGTGCTAGGCCGCTGAGGCTCAGGGGCATTTGCGCGGACCAGCATGGACCAGCGAACGGCCCAGGTGTGGGCCCGACTTGCACCCGCCCACGGACCAGCATGCACAGTGCGAGGCGCAGGTACGAGAACGAAGCTCGACACGCTGGACCATTTCCAGAGCGACCCAAGGCGATAGGAATCGCATGCGAAGACTGCGTTTTGATTGTTTCGCCAAAGGTATCTTCTGTGTGCGAAGTCTGTAAAAAGCGTGACCGGGTACACTTTGTTTTTGTAGACACTTCGTTTTCGAAGCTGCAATGCACTGTGCATAGCTGGTCCGCCTCAAATGATCCCCAGTACGCGGGACCACTTTTGGAAGTAGTCCCTCTAAAATGGTGCCCCCTTGAATTCGCTGGTCCATTTCGCTTGACCAGCGCGCAATGTTACACCGCCTGTTACGCCCAATTGCGCCAAAGCGTTGCCCGTAACTGTTTGGGAGATTGTTTTGAGGGAGTTGTGTTGTGCGGTGCGGGCTCGGACGTTCGGTTTGGCCAGGTTTGGTCGGTCTCACGTTTTGTAGACCAACGAGCTTGCGTATTTTTTAGTTCTGCACTGTAGTATTGTTCTGTACTAAAAAAATATTATCAAATCACCACCCCCACAGAACAGGTACAGAGGAGGACTACAGTACACCTAACCACCGCTATTTTCTTTCGGTCTATTTTCAACCCCACTTGCACAAGTGGGGTATGCACCCTTTCTAAATCTTTGACCGAGGGTTTTGTGGGGCATCATTAAACTTTAGCGAGAGTCTGTTCCAGATTCCCGAAGAGAGAACTGTAGAAGTGGCGCTATGGATTCAGATTCGCATAATGAGTTTAAACTTCGAGCATTAGGCGTCATTCATAGCCCCAGTCATCTAGGTGTCGAACTGAAATAGACGAAAACGTGCAGGGTCACTTTGAAACGCGAGATTAGTGGGCTGGGTTTCCCCTTGAAAATAGCGGTGGTTAGGTGTACTTGCCTAGTTTCTTCTCCCTTTTTCCTACTGAGTAAGCTGGCTCACAACGACGAAGCTGGGTAGCATTGCGGAGCGAGCGCCAAGCACCTACACCTTCGGGCTCCAATCTGGCCTTTCGTCAATGCCGGAGCCGGCATCACAACCGTTCAATTTGTCCGAATGAGCCAAGGGTTTCAGGCACCGAAACTGACGGAGACCCGCCGCTAACCTACGAGTAACGTGACGATTCAGGATGCGTCAACTCCTGCAATAACGGCGATCGATTGTGATCGTCCATCGCAGTAAATTCCCGCAATTGCAGCCAAAATGTGTTCCAACCTCCTTTAACCCAGTCAAAAAACGAATCCGCGCAGGATCGATCGCCGAATTTTGCCGGAGTTGACTTTGATTCATATGTTTTGTACATGTGTGAGGATAGCAGTGGGGGGAGGGGAGGCGCCGCGGAGGACTGCGCGTGAAAGGTCAGGCTCGAATTCTAGGGGGTGGACCATTAGCTAGCGGGTGAAAGCCGATGGTCAAAGCTTTTCGATTTCGAAGATATGGGCGCACCAAATTAAGTAGTACATCATGGCTTCGGGACAACCGCGTTGACTACACCCGAACACTGCTGGGAAGAGGCCGAAGTACACACGGACTGAGAGAGCATACGTGTTCGAAGCCCATCCCGTGGGGTCTCTGGCAATTTTGCTGGTTGTAAGAAGACAAGGCCTGCAGGCGTCTAGTGTTGCAGTGTAAGTGCAAATTGTTAACGGGAGGTACTCTCTGAACTGAAAGTTCTCGAAGAGCCACTCATCGGATTGGCGTTACGGGGGGCGGGGGGAACTGGTTACTGGACTGACACGAATGTCGGCGGCGGCGGCGAGGAGGAAGGGCCCGAACTCGGACGATGTCGTGCGCGTCGTCGTGAGGCACGTGACCGGACCACCGCGATGCAGCGCTTTTCGACTCCAACCTGGTCACCGGGTAGAACTGTACGTGTACTGTACATCGTCTGCTGTAGCAGAATTGGGCTCGAAAGGCTGCTCGGTGGTACTGTACACTGTGTGGTCACCTGCTGGAGAGTCTTCGATTTCCTCGTGTCGCTTCCACAGATTTCCGTTCCACAGTATCTCGTTGGTCTCATCTCATCTTGTGTCAAGTGCCGCGCTCCATTCGAGACCTGAAGCTGCAACGGCTGCATCGTCTCCTCCCCATAACAGCAAAGCAGCCACCGCCGACGTCGGACGAGCAAGAAAAAGCGAGGCGGAGGAACGTCACTCAACGCTTTGTCGATCGTTCCGTTGCAAAACCTCGAATTCTTCCCCTCTTCCCGATAGTTACGTTTCCGAGGTTGTGAAGATTGTTAACCCGAGAGACGCTAATATTAGAATTTCCTCGACCGTAGCACATCCATAAGCCAATGCGTGTAGACTCTCGGAATTTCGATTCGCCGCCACCATCACACGACGACGGCAGAGGCATGGAGAACCCAGACTGGTCGTTTGGGCACGAGAATCCCGTTAACGAAGAACCCATTATAGAGGACACACCAGCTTGCGCGAAGGAGCCCACGAAGCGTCGCAGATGGCCGCGACGGAGCCCGTTGCGGCGTCTGGGAGTCGCCGTGGATTACGGGCTCATGGCGTTCTTCAGCGTGATAGCTAGATTCGTCGCTAGGCGTCCTCTCGCTGTGGTAGTAGCGACGGTGGGCGTCGGGTTACTGCTCGGGCTCGGCATGATACGCTTGAAGGTGGTAACCAACGTCGAGGACCTCTACACGCCGCAGGGCAACATCGCTTTCGTACACCGGGTATGGCACCTCTTTGAAACTACGCTGAACCTTCTCCGGGCAGAATCTTCTCCGGTGCCCGAACTGTGAATCTGCTCTTGCCGGTGAATCTACTAGCGGGATGTGCTTGTAACGAGGTCGGTGCTCGTGGCGCTGCCGCTTTTGCTGTTGCCGTTCGTCCGTGCGTGCGCGTGCAGGAATACGTGGACAGCGTGTACGGTTACGATCAACTGGACGTGAAGATCTACGTGACGGGCAAGGGCGGCACGACGGGAAATGTGCTCACGAAAGACGCGCTCCTCGCGCTGCTAGATGTCTACAACCTCATTCTCAGGTTAGTCGCCATTAGTCGCCACCCTTGTTCGCCGCCACCATTGGTCCGTGTCCTTACGCTGATGTTGCCCGCTTGTTCGACGTCCCGCAACCCTTGTTCCCCATCCCCCGGATTCCCCACCCCTCGCAATCCCCATCCTCACACTCCTTCTCCCACGTCTGCCGCCCCCTCTCCCCGCCCCCCTCTCCCCATCCCCGCTCCCCCTCTCCTCCCCCCTCGCGCCGCGCGCCCGCGTTACCCGCAGCACAAATGCGACCTTCGACGGCTCGACGTTCAGCTACGAGAGCGATCGCATCTGCTACCGGCCGGGCGGCGCGGGCACGCCGTGCCAGGCGGCGAGCGTACTGGACTCCTGGAACTTCGACCGCGCGCGCATCGAGGCGGACGGCGACGTCCTTAAAACGTTCAACCGCCCCTACGTGATGGTGAGAGATTCCGTCTGATTTTCCGTCGCCCTGTTGCCCACGGGGCTTGTCTGGAGGGGTTTTTGAGATTGGGCCTTGTCTCACCAGTCGCCGCTGCGCACTGGTGAGTGTCCGTTATCGTTTCCTTCCCCCACCCTCCCGCTGTTTTCATTTTTCCCGTCGATCCCCATTCCGTCCATCGCCCTCCTCGCTCGTTGCGCCACGCAGACGCGGTTCGGGCAGCCCGTGCCGCAGGAATGGGTGATCGGGCAGATGCAGCACGACAACGCGACGGGCAAGGTCACAGCGGCGAACGCGCTGCTGCTCACTCTCTACCTCCAGAACCACAAGCCGGGCCGCGGGAGCAAGGACGTCGAGGCGTGGCAGAAGGCCGTGACGCCCGTCGTTAAGACGTACTCTAACCCGAATGTGGACGTCTATATTCTCTCGCCGTGGGAGCAGCAAGCCGCGGCGGATAGCGCGCTTACAACGGATCTGTTCTTACAGGGCCTTAGCGCAGTGCTCCTTGTCGGGTACAGCATGCTCATTCTGCACAAGCCGCATCCCGTGTACTCCCAGTCGCATCTATCCTTCGCGAATTTCATCTCCGTAGGTCTCGCGGTGCTCGGATCGTACGGCCTGTGTTCGCTCTTCGGATTAGGGTTTTCATTAGTTACACAGTCGCTCGCGCTGCTGCTGCTGGGCCTAGGGACTGACGATATGCTAGTTACGCTCGCGGCGCACGACGAGACGAGGAAGGAGATGGCGGGTTCGTCGATTTCGGACCGCATCGTCGTGACCGTGGCGCGCGCGCGGCGCGGGGTGATCGTCGCCGCGGCGACGAATTTCGTCGCGTTCTGCACGGGAATCTCGTCGCAGCTGCCGGCGTTGCGAGACTTCATGATCTACGCGGCGGTCGGGGTGATTCTCGTCTTTATCTACCAGACCACGTTCTTCGTCGCGTGTCTCACGCTAGACCTGTTCCGCCAGCGGGAAAACCGCATGGATGTGCTCTGCTGCGTCGTCAGCACAGCTGGTCCGAACGACGGCTGCTGCCGACGCGAGTACGACCCGGATAAGCCGGACCTTCTCCACACGGTATTCGGATCTTACGTCCCTAAAGTTATTCTGCATCCGGTGGGGAAGATTGTCGTGTTGCTGCTTACAGCGGGGTTGCTAGCGTGGGGACTGTACGGCGCGGTGCACGTGCGCAACGACTTTAACATGGAGTGGCTGGTGCCTAAAAACGCGTACGTTTTCAAGGTGTTTGATGTGCGCCGCGCGACGTTCCCGCGATCCGCGGGGAAAGGCGCGCTTCCCGTGTACGCGTACACGCGCAACCCTGGAATTAACGGCGGTGGAATCGGGGGAAGCGGCGCAACCGGCGGAGAAGCCCCGCTGGACTACTTCAACTACCAGGACGAGCTCGCGGCGCTGAGCGCCGCGCTGCAGGTGCGCGGAGCGGGGAATGGGTTGGGAAATGGCAAGGGGGGCGAGGGGAATGGGGAGGGTGGGGAGATGCGGTAGGGGCAAGGGTCAAGGACAGTGATGCCTACGGTAAGGCTTACAGTATTCAGGGGAGGCAGGGTTGGGTTGGGCTGGGTTGGGTTGGGCTGTGGGGTTTAGAGCAGTCATTGAGGTTTTGCCCGCCATCCCTTTTCTCCTCCACGCGCATTGCCTGACTTGTATCCCTCGTCCCCATCCCGCATCCCCATCCCTCATCATCGCGCGCATGTCCCTCCTCCCTGTGCCTTGTGTCTCCTCCAGAGCGACCCGTACGTGGGCTCGGCGCCGCCCGTGCAGTCGTGGTACGACTGGTACATCAAGTGGCTGCGCGCGTCCCCGCACAAGGGCCAGCTCACCCCACAGGGCCGGTGCGTGGCGCGCTGCCCTGTGCTGCACTTTTTGCGTTTTCTGCGCTTGCTCTGTGGTGGGGGGGGAGTGTGGCGTGGGGAGTTTGGGCGGCCGAGAATCGTTTTCCTGCATGCATGTGCGCACTGCGCTCATATTCCTGCACCTCACTGAATCTCTTAATCCACACTCTCTCCTCCCCCCCTCTCCCCGCCCACCCTTCCCTCCTTTCCTCCCTTCTTTCTCCCCCAGCCCGCCCACGTCAGCGCTGTTCTACTCGTGGTTGCACGAGTTCCCCCTCTCCTCAAATCCCTCTCCGTCTCCCGCTTCCAACCTCCCCTCTCTCCCTTCCCTCTCCCCCCATGCTTTCTCCGCCAGCCCGCCCACGTCAGCACTGTTCTACACATGGCTGCACGAGTTCCTGGCGTCGCTGATGGGGCAGCGGTTCCAGACGGACGTGGTGTTTGCACCGGGCAGCAACGGCACTGTCATCCTATCCTCCCGCATGTTCGCCCTCACTAATGCGCTCGTCTACAGCCAGACTCAGGTGAGGGGGGGAGGGGGCAGGGGGGTGGGGAAGGGGGTGCAGGAAGTGGTTCCAGGCGGACGTGGTGTTTGCACCCAGGGAGCAACAGCAACGGCAGCAGCAGCAGCAGCAGCAGCAGCAACGGCACTGCCATCCTCTCCTCGCACATGTTCGCCCTCACCAATGCACTCTTGTAAAGCCAGACTGGGGTGAGGGGGGGGGGGGGGTGGGTGAGAGTGGGGAGAAGGGGGAGGAGGGGGAAAGTGGGGAGAGAGGAGACGGGAGGGGGGGCGGGAAGTGGTGGTTCCAGACGGACGTGGTGTTTGCACCCAGGGAGCAACAGCAGCAACGGCACCGTCATCCTCTTCCCCCGCATGTTCCCCCTCACAAACGCGCTTGTCTATAGCCAGACGCAAGTGTGCGAGGGAGTGAGGAAGGGCGGTGGGGGGGAGGGGTGAGAAGAAATGTGCTTGGGAATGAGTGGCCGAGTAGGAAAAGGGAAGGGGAGTGGGAAAGATGGGCTTACCACACTCGACTCCTCCCCTCTTCCCACCACCACGCCTCCCCTCTCCCTCCTCCAGGTTGACGCGATGGTGTCAACAAGGCAAACGATGGCAGCAGCAGCGCCGTCCCTACAGTCCTTCGCATACTCCTACTCCTTCATCTTCTTTGAAGGCTATGCCGTGCTGCAGCACGCCCCCTTCTCGCTGTCGGTGCCCGGATTCTCCTCGCATCTCTCCTCCCTCCCCAACCCCCATTCATTCCCCCCTTCCCCCCTGGCCTCCTCCCCCCAACTTTCTCCCCTGCCCCCCCCGCCCCCCTCCTTCCTCCCGACTCTCCCGTCTCTCCCGCTCACCTCAGGTTGACGCGATGGTGTCGACGAGGCAGACAGTGTCAGCAGCAGCGCCGTCTCTACAGTCCTTCGCCTACTCCTACTTCTTCATCTTCTTTGAAGGCTATGCCGTGCTGCAGCACGACACTGTGCTCGCTGTCGGTATTGCCGGCGCCGTGGTGTTTGTCATCATGCTGCTCGTGCTCGCTGACCTTGCATGCAGGTACGCTTGCACACATGTGTGCACGCACGCACATGCATGTGCTGCACAGTTGCTCAAACTCCCTCACTCTCCCTCACTCTCACTTACTCTCACTTACTCTGCATCACTCCCTCATCCTCACTCTCTCCCACTCGTTCTCACTTACTCACTCTCACAAACGCTCCCTCACTCTCTCACTCTCCCTCACTCTCAGTTACCATGCTCCTCCCTGTCGCCACATAGCTCTCTCCAATCCTATCCCATGCAACCCGGTCTTCTTTCCCCCATTCACCACTCCCCTTTCCCTTCACTGCAGTGTGCTGGTAGCGGCAATGGTGGCATTCATCGGTCTAGAGCTCGTGGGGTTTCTGTACTGGTCGGGCATGGGGTTCAACTCGGTCACCTCCATCACAGTGCTGCTCTCCCCTCCTCTCTCGCTCTACTCACCCCACGCCCCCCCTCTTTCTCCCCTTCCGCTCCCCCTCTCCAGCATCCTGGTAGCGGCAATGGTGGCATTCATAGGGTTAGAGCTCGTGGGGTTTCTGTACTGGTCGGGCATGGGGTTCAACTCGGTCACCTCCATCACAGTGCTGCTCTCTGTCGGCATTGTTGTCGACTACTCCGCCTTCATCGCCTTCTCCTTCCTCTCCCAGGTATGTTACTGTTGTGCTGTCTTGTGCTGTCGGGGCCTGCTTGGTTGTGCTGCCCTGCTGCCGGCATTTTTTTTTTTTTTTTAAGCTTCAAGCGCCCTCTCAACTGCTTGTTCTTTCCTCGCTCTCTCCCATCGCTCCCCTCTTCCTTACCCATCCCCTCGTCCCTCAGGTCGGCTCACGCAACGAGAGGGCACGCAAATCCCTCGCCCATCTGGGCGTTGCAGTGTTCAACGGGGGCTTCTTCATGTTCCTAGCAGTGCTGCCCATGAGCCTGGCGCAGTCCTTTGTCTTCCAGTCCTTCTTCAAGATGTTTGCCATGATTGTCTCTCTCGGTCTCTGGCACGGCCTCTTCGCCCTCCCGGTCATTCTCTCCCTCGTTGGTCCCCGCCCATTTGACACCACTGTGGAGAGGTTGAAGGAACTGGAGGGAGGAGGAGGGAAGGGGGGTTTTGAGAAGGAGGTGTTTGGAAGGGGTGGAGAGGAGGTGGAGGGGGTGGAGAAGGGAGGGGAGGAGGGGAGGATGGAGGAGGGGAGGGGGACGAGCAAGGTGGAGGAGGAAGGGTGTGAGAAGGGACGGTGCAGTGGGGTTGAGTGTTATGAGGGTAGCAGCAGTGGCAGCTCAGTGGAAAATGGTTGTGACAGTGACGGGTTGGTGGGTCTTGGAATGGATAGGGAAAGGAATGAGAGTGGCAGCACGAGTGTGAGTGGGGGACGGTGTGGCAGTGATGGGAGCAGTGATGGTAGTGTTGAGTGCAGTACAGAACTGCAGCCTCCTGTGCCCCAGCAGTTTCACGTTTAAGGCACCTCCGAAATCTCAGAACGGGGGGGGGGGGTGGCAGTGATGGGAGCAGTGACGGCAGTGTGGAATGCAGTACGGAACTACAGTCTCCAGTGCCCCTACAGTTTAAAGTTTGATACGTCTGCATGATTGGACTTTCACAGAGAGGGGAGTGGCAGTGACTGGAGCAGTGATGGGAGCAGTGGTGGCAATGTGGATTACAGTACGGAGATGCTGTTTCCAGTGCCCCAGCAGTTCAATGTTTGGTGCGTCTGCATGCTTGGACTTTCACAGTGAGGGGGGTGCAGTGGCGCCGTGGCCGCAATGTGGAGTGCAGTACGGAGTTGCTGCCTCCAGTGCCCCAGCAGTTTCGGGTTCTGAGGGTGGAGGATGGAGGAGAGGAATGGGTGGAGGAGCATCAAGAGGAAGGACTGAGCTGTGCCTGCTTGGGTTGAATTGAGACTTGTTAGTTGTCAGACTTGGTGTCTTGGTGAAAGTGTGTGTGTGGCTTGTGCACACGTGTGTGTGAGTGTGCATGGAGCCAGGTGTATAATCACATTCTGGTTACTTGGTACCTGCGCTTGGTGCCCCAGAATGTGATTATGCAGCCAGTTCAGCGTAGGTGGCTAACTTTGCGTGTACTTTTGTTTTTCTCTTAATGTGTAAGAATTTTGTTTTAGTGTAGTAGAGCAAGTATTCTGTTCATATTGATAGCCGAACTTGAATGGAATACGAGTAAGGACAAACAGGCACAGTACAGCGGTTTCAGGCTTAGTCCAGTCCTTGGCTAGTCAACAGCCTGCTCCCACCTGATGCAGCAGCAGACTCATCACGCAGGGATTTACACTGCATTTCCGTATCTGTTATATGTTTAGAACTAGAAAAAAACGGACTCTCAACGGAAGGATTTACTGTGTTTCCTGCACTTGGTGAAATGCGATGGCAAGGAATGGCAACCATTTCTGCCCAGCATGCCCCTTCATGTGTCGACTCAGAACAGTCATGTCATGTGCAAGCAGAGCACACGACGAGTAATGCCCTTTAATCCCCCTGCCATTCCTGCACCAGGTGCAACAGCAACCGCTTCTGTCCGATTCTGAAGCGCAAGGCAAGCTCGTACGCTGCTGCAGACAGCCCACCCCGGCTGCTGCTGTCACTGCTGTCGCTGCTGTGGCTGCTGCTAATGGTGTCAGTGTCAGTGTCACTGTCAGTATCACTGCCACTGTCACTGCTGGGCTCTTTGCTGCTAACTCCAGTATCAGAACCATCATTCCACTCACACACTCTATCTCCATCTCCTGCCCCCCCACCCGTTCGCTCGCACCCACCCTGCTTTCCCCTGTCACCACCACCACCATGAGCACCAGCAGCACCAGCAGCAGCAGCAGCACCTGCGACCTTTGCATCCCGTGGCCCCCCTGCTTCCCCTGCTGCAGCAGCAAGCTGTCCAGTAACATCAGCAATGTTACCAGAGACGCGAGCCAGCAGGGAGAGGTCGTGCTGCAGTGTGGTGGGCAGTGCATGCAGCATCTCCCTGCATCGCTCCACTAGGGCTATCTGCGCTAGGAACACAGCCGCTGCTGCTGCTGATCCTTCTGGGCCTAGAGATGCCTCCTCCTCTACTGCCGTGCAACCCCATGCACTGCTGCCCATGTGCTGCGATTCGCCAGTAGCAGCAGCACCACCACCACCACCACTTGTACCCTTTCCAGCTTCACCCCTCTCCACACCTCCGCCTCCCATCACCAGCCTCCGCACCTCTCGAATCACAGCAGCAAAGGCCGAGAGCGCGCGTCTGCTGCCCTTCCATCTCCGCCCCACCGTGACTGCCTCTGGAGCGTCGAAGATGGCTGTGGAGTCCCGCCCGTCCGCAGGCAGGGAGAAGCCCAGAGGCAGCGGGGGGAAGGGCGCCGTGGCAGCCCAGTTCCTGCCGTCGCTGCCTTCCTGTGGGTCCTGTGGGGTGTCTTGATTGCCGTCGCTGCTGCTGCTGCCGTGGTTGTGTTGCTCATACGCGCCTTCCACCTCTGCTGCTGCCGCCACTGCCAGTCGCAGCATGGCCTCTTCAAACGCCTTGGGAATGGGCATGCACGCACCAGAAGCAGAGTCCGCATCACCAGCACCAGCAGCACCAGCAGCGCCTCTACCAGCAGTAGCGTCATCATCATCACCAGCAGCAGCAGCAGCAGCAGCAGCATAACCAGCCAGAACAGAATCCGGCAGCCTCCCCTCTCTCTGCAGGAATCCCAGCAGCCACGCCACCCCATGCCGCAGCCCCTGGAACAGCGTCACAGTATCATGCGGGTTCGGCTCGGGCAGAAACGCCTGGAACACACAGAACGCCTCGTTAGGCCCGTTCCAGTAGGTCTCAAACACGGGGTGGCCCTCGGTGACAGGGCGGAGGGAGACGAGCACCGCGCGGTCGGCGTAGACGCCTTCCACCCAGTCCACGTCCCCATCGTCCCACTCGTCCCGGAAGCGATGATTCGCCATGTCTCCAAAGGGTAGGAACATGCTGATGGTGCCGCGGGGGTCGCTGAGGGTACAGCAGGGAAGGAAGACAGGGAGAGAGGGAGGTAGAAGCGTTGGGCGAGGGACGCGGTGAAGGCTAACAGAAAGGCAGAATCACCAACACCGGGAACACACAGAAGGCCTTGTTGGGGCCGTTGGTGACCCTGGGTTCCAGTAGGTCTCAAAGACGGGGGGTGGGCGTGGGTGAGAGGGCACAGGGAGACGAGCACTGCTCGGTGGAAAACAGACGCCCTCCACCCAGTCCACGTCCCCGTCGTCCCACTCGTCCCGGAACTGGAGGTGGGGACTGGAGCTCGGGACTGGAGCTCGGGACTGGAGCTCGGGACTGGAGGTAGGGACTGCAGCTGCATGTATGCCTCCAACTCTGCTCCCCTCACCGCCCATGGCTTAACTGGGAGGCAGGTTCAGCGATAAGTGGCGAGTGAGGTACATGGCAAAGGCCCACAAGAAGTCCCCATAGGTGCTTTTTGTTAGAGGCCCCTCATAAGTCACCGCCCCTTACCTGGGAGGCAGGTTCAGGGAGAAGTGTCTGGTGAGGTACATGGCAAAGGCCCACAGGAAGTCCCCGTAGCTGGCGCCACCAAGCACGGCCCTGTCGCTCCTCTCGTACGCATCCCGCATGTACGCCTCCAGTGCTGCTCCCCTCGCCACTGCGCTCGGCAGCTGCAGCTCCCATATCCCTGCTGCCGCCACTGCCTCTGTGCTGCTGCTGCCACCGCTGGTGGTGGTGCTGTCAGTGGTGGTGGTGGTGGTGCGGTGGTGCGGCAAAGGCAGCCAGGGCAGGGGGATGTAGGAGGGGAGGATGGCGGTGAAGGGCGCCCACTCGGACGCGTTGCCCTGATGGGGAAGGGTGTGAGGGGGGGGGAGGTTTGGAAGAATGGGTAGAAAATGGGGGAGATTGAGGGCGACAAGGGGCAGGCAAGGAGGAATAATGGATGCACTGGAGGCTGAGGGAATGCGCTGGGAGGAAATGGGGAACTAGTATGAAGTAAACCTGTGTAATAAAGTCATAGGTCGTTTGAACATTCTTCTATCTGCCTCACACCTCCTTCATGCACCTTCTCGCCCTTCTCGCCTCCTCTCACCCCATCTCGCTCGCCCGTCCTCGCTCTCCGCGTTTCACCTCCCGCGCACCTTCTTTGAGCCGCCTGTGTCTCATTTCTTCTTGAGCCGCCTAATCAACCACCTTGAGCGCACCTTGTTCATCTCCCGTACCGCAGCAGCTCCGCCATGAGCACCATGTGTGCATGCCGCATTCCCTCTTCTCCCCTTCCGCGCCTCTGCTCTCCTTCTTCCTCACCTTTTGAGGCGCCTCAAAAGAACCACCTTCAGCGCACCTTCTTCACCTCGCGCAGCAGCTTCGCCATGAGCACCATGTGCATGCCGCACTCCTTAAACGGCTCCGGATCGCTCTCCTCCGCCACTATGGCGGCTTTAAACGGCACGGATACGACTTCCTCCCCCGCCGCGATGTCCGCGGCCGCCGCCATGCCGCGCTCCCCGCCCTGCGCGCGGCTGATGCGCAGCTTGGCGCGCTGCGGAAGCACCTGGGGGAAGGATCCCGGGGGGTGGAGACGGGGGAGCGGGGCGGGGGAAACGGGGGAGGGGAAGAAAAGAGGAAGAGTGTGACGGGGCGAAGAGTCGACGTGAGAAACGTAACGGAAGAGGAAGGCTCGTCAAACTAAATGGGCGTATGGGGCCGTTGAGACCGTTGGGAGGGCACACCTCTTTGCCGCCCAGCCCGTGCAGCCATTCCAGGAAGCGCAGCTCCGCGCTCGTCTCGTCCTGCGCTTCGCACACGCGACCCGCCGCGGACAGCGCGAGTAGAAACACGCAGAGCGAGTGGACCGGCGACGGGAAGCGGCAGCGGAGCAAAGGCGATCGATTAGAAGCGGGGGGAGATCTGGAGACGAATGTCGAATGGGATGAGGGATCGGAGGAGGCTCGGTCGCTGGAACAAGTTGATTCAGGTGACATTGTTTTCTTCACACTTCTCAAGGGCACGGGTTTCGGATGCTGGAGCGTAGTGGAAGCCATTAGGGCCGGATATCCCTGCTTGTGGTGTAGAATGGTAGTTTCTACAATAGCGCACGCATCCTGAGGCGTTGATTTTGTAGAATCTCTGCTGTTGTGTCTATCGTCGGCGATGGCTGCTGAGATGCGCGGCTGAAACCCGAGCAGACCTTACGATTCTAGCGGTGAGGAATCTAGGCTGGGAGAAGATCAAGGGTGAACAATCAACATTGCAGCATTTATGAACATCCTTACCGTGGAGTGGCGTAGGGTGTGTGGAGGGGAAGGACAACAGAGAAAATTGAGAGTAAAAAATTGGGGCTTGCCCCCTGCCCTGGGTGCACCTGCCTAACCAGACAGAAAGCTGAGATGAACCGTCGATTCTCACTCCCAGAACCGCGTGTCAGAGACTATCCTCCAATCAAAGTCTTCTTAGATTATGTCAGGAGTGACAGGTGCTATCTGTGGCTTATAACTGAGCTGTGTACACATTCTACGTCTCTCCATATATCGAGGCACTCCCATCCATATGTTCTTATTTTTTTCTGCATTAGTTTTTTTTTTCTTGCTGGAAGAGACTGGTATCAGGGCTTCGTTTTGGATTTGGCTAACTCACGATTGGCGGTGTCTGAGCAGTGTGAACTTTTTCATTACACTGCCAGAACAGTGTAACATATCCGTTTTAAAATTTTACCCTGCAACTCCAGTGTGAGATTTTTCCGTACACTGTCACTAATATGTACTTCTTAGATTTAACTCAACTCACATACTTGAAAATTTATTTATAATCATTCAATCACTTGCATGCTCATCCTCGCTATCAGACTCTAAAACTGCCTTGCCGTTTCCTGCGAAGTGTTTGTGTGGGACGGGTGTTTTCGCGGGTCTTCTCTTCTTTTGCTTCCGCCAGATCTCCACCACCTCCGGCCATTTGTACTCGTAGTTCAGCATGTTGAGAGTCATCAGCTCGGACAGACGGACGTCTCCAAGCGACGTGCGCATCCAGCTTTTGATGACGTTTTGCCGGCTGAATCCACGCTCGCACTCCACGGTGCTTAGCGGGATCACCGCGAGCGCCTGCCACATGGACACCAAGTTGGGGTAGCTGCGAAGCCAGTCCTTGGTCTTCATCATCTTGGCGAGCCCCTGGTAGAAGTCGTCGTCCTCGTAGTGGCGCGACATGACGTGGCAGAAGTTGGAGTGACCGCGGGAGGTGGCGGAGGAGGAGGTTTCACAAGCGCCTTGCCGGCGCCGAACCCAATCGTTGTCTGCGTGTAGCGGCGACGTTTCAGCGCTGCCGAATTAGAAGACTCCGGGGCTTCGGTGACGATGTCCGTCGTCTCCACGTCACCGTGAACGTCGAGGTCCGCCTCATTGCTTGTGGGACGTTGCGTCTCAGCGTCGTCTGAAGCTAGCTCCTGCTCAGGCGGGGGTGACCGTGACACAGCTTTGCGCACAGGAAATTGCCAGCCCTCACTGTCATCCGAGGGCTCAGGCAAAGGGCGAGGTGCAGATTCGGTTACATGGCCTCGCAAAAAATCGAGACCAGTCCTTGGCCTATAGCTACAAGAGGGGTCGCCATCATCGGCATTGGCAGCGTCTCCAGGCGCAGCCATGGCTACCAGGTGGTGGTCGCTCAGCTCCTAGATTGAGTGGTTAAAACAGGAGCGACTTTGGGGTGGTGGTGGAATGACGGTGTCACACGATACTGCTAGCTGTGCTTGCCGAACCCACACGGCAAAGCTTCGGGACAGAAACTCACAGAGCGCCACTGTCGGGGACCGTGGTTTGCATCTCCAAGCACTGACAATCTGAATGTGGTCCCACTCCCAGGACTTAGTTCAGGCAGCAATTCTGTAGTTGCTGCCAATGTGGGATTGCGTGTCGTGCTGGCAAGGGAATTATTCCTAACTGACCAATCGGACACATGACACCGGCAAACGCAAGTACTGGGGGGGGGGGGGGGGGGGAGGCGAAGGGGTGCTCTGTACGGACTTCTGTGTAATCTACGATAAGTAAAAAATTACCCCAAGGCATCAGTGTGGCCTAGAACGATACACTTACAGATCAGTGTAACACTAACTCATAAAAAAATTACCCCAGCACATCAGTGTAGACCCAAAATTTCACCCTTGTAATCAGTGTAGAAGGGTAAATTACACTGCAAACCTCAGCCCTGACTGCTATGATAGTATCCCCATGACTAGTTGTATAATTTGAGGCAACTTATTTTCTCATCCAGCTGGAAACACGTACAGCCGTACTGCAACCACTGTCCCATTTCCCCATAACGAGGACGTCACCTTGACCACGCCGCTCCATGCACCGTGCTTCACCTTCCCTCCATGTTCATGCGGATATTTTCCATTTCTCCCTCCCCTTCCGTTCCGTCCGTTGCTCTCCATTTTACCGTTGTGCGAATTCGCCATTGAACTCAAGAGTTTAGAACGAACGTGGGTCCTGCTGTCTTGGTCGACTGACTCTCCTACCGCTGCTGCTTAGATGTCGGAATCTGGTCATGAAAGAAATAAAGTTACTTTTATAAAAATTGTCCATCCGTTTGGTCACCGATAAGTTGTCAAACAATAAGCGTTTTTCATCGTTTCTCTATGGCTGCTTGACTCGCTCTAAGCGCGTCCCGGAACTCGTAGCTGTTTCGCGGAATAAGTAAGTTGCCGGTTTCCCATTAGCTTATCGCGTTCCACTAGCTTTTCGCGTTTCGCACCGTGTTTCGCGTTTCGCAGACTTTATTTGGGGTCATCTGTCCGCTCGTTCACGAGCGGCATGAATGGTGGTGGTGGTGGCGACGCGGGTGGCGTCGACGGGAGCGTGGACGAGGATGTGTTCCGCTTTAAGGTGGCGGCGTTTTTCACGGTCATCGTGGTGTCGCTTGTGGGGGGATTCCTACCGCTGCGAATCAACATGGGGAATGACCAGACGCGGGTTAGTAATGGCTCGCGGATCTGAGTCCGGATTGTCGCCATTGCTGTTGTTTGTCAGTGGTGCTCTGTGCTCGAGCCCGTCAGTTATAGACCAAGACCACATCTGAACAATAAAACATTTAAATGAATAAATAGCTATACATTCAAATGTTCATTCCATTTTTGCTGATGCTCCTCCTATTCACTGGCTATGTTTTTCAAATACTAATGAGACCCCGTGGTTTTCTATTCCCCTGTCAATCCCTCCTCTTTCCAGAAAGGTATCATAGACCACATGCGCTTCCTAACCGCCGGCGTCTTTCTCGGCGTGGGCCTGCTGCACATGCTCCCAGACGCCGTAGAAGGCTTCCAAGCCCTAGACTGGTCGCTGCCCTCAGCCTTCAATATAGTCACATACGCCTGGCGAGATCACCTTCGCCACAGTCCCAGCAACCAGCCACTCCTATCCTCCGGGGATCCCGCTGCAGCAGACGACAACGATCCGTTTCCTATACCGTACCTCCTGTGCGCGTTGGGGTTCATTCTAGTGTGGTACGCGGAGCAGCGCTTCTCTTCCGCCGCGGCCCCCTCCCCCTCCCCCCAGGAGATCCAGAAAATGATGGCGGTGGCAGCAGGGGCGGAGTCACTCGGGGGAGGTAGTATCTGCTACGTGCAGGTGCAACCAGTGGCGTCATACGGGCCTGTACAGTGCCCGTCGCCCACGAGAATCCGCTCTGCTGCTGCTCTGGCGGGCCTTCCGCAGTCTGCCATGCAAGCAGCGATGTATGGACCTGCGTCTGTGTCCTCGTCCTCCCCGCTCGGTCCCTCGGGATTGTCGTCATCGTTTGCTGGCGGTTCAGCTGCTGGTTCTGTGTCTCCGTACGCGTCTCCTTCTCCCAGTCGGTTCGTTCTGCCGCCTTCTGCTTCCCCTGCTGCTGCGCCTGGCGCTCTAGGGCCTGTCTCCGCGCATGCACCCTCGCATGGGCCCTCTCATGTGCACTCGCACTTGCCGTCACATGTGGCCGCCTCACCGCAGTTAGGGTTGAGGGAGGCGCTGCTGCTCGGAAGGGAGATGGAGATGGAGAGGGAGAGGGGGAGGGAGCGAGAGGGAGAGAAGCAGAAAGGGGAAGGGACGGGTGTGGCGGTGCTGGGAGGGCGTGGGCATAGAGGAGAGTGTGGGAAACAGAACCGTGGCGATGGGCATGGGCACGAGCACAATCATGGGCATGGGGAGGGGAGTGAGCACGGCAGTGAAGGCGAACACATGCATGTGCATGCGCATGACCATGAGCACGAGCATGCGCATGAGCATGATGAGGAGGACGGATTGCTGGCACATGCACATTCACATGCACACTCGCATGCGCATGATCACAAGCATGCACACTCTTCACTTCCCCAGCATGGGGCGCAGCACCCGCAGGTGCATGCGCATGAGGAGCCTGGCGACTGCTGCCACTCCCAAGGCCATGGGGATAGCGTGTGCCATCATACCGACCAGCAGCAGCAGGGGCGGGAGAAGCAGAAGAGGAAGATTCACGAGCATGCGCAAGATCACAGCCACAAGCACGGCAGCAGTAATAGTCACGGCCATGCCCAGGGGCCGCACGCCCGTTCCGCCCACCACCACGCGCACGAGTGGCAAGACGAGGTGGGCGTGCGGTGGAGAGGGGTGCAGGGCGGCACAGAGGACGACGCCTGTGCGGGTCTGCACCGCCACACGCACACCACGCACCACCACCACATAGTGCTCCCCTCCAGGGGCGGGCTCTCGTACCTGCTCACTGCGCTGCTCTCCATGCACTCGTTTGTCGTGGGTGCGGCGCTGGGCACGTCGGGGACGCTGCAGGGGACGGTGGGGCTCATCATTGCGCTTATTGCTCACAAGTGGGCCGAGGCCTTTGCAGTTGGCGTGCAGGTCAGTACCTACATGCCCTAGTTGTAGCTTCTAGTTCATGCTTTTTAGAGCCAGCGGCCTGACAATGAGTATTCCTTGGAGCCATCAGGTCTCCTGACATACAACTAGAGTTACAGCCAACCCTCTCATTGTCACTAGTGCTCCGTCTTTGCCTCCCCAACCACCCACCCACCCCCTTCACTATCAACTCTGCCTTGCACGTCCCTCATATTTCCCTTGCTTCCCCATCCTCTCCCCCTCGGGCTCCAGTTTGTGAGGGAGAGTGTGCCAGTGCCCAAGATGGCAGCCATTCTGCTGCTCTACTGCGCCATGACACCCACTGGCATCGTCGTAGGCATGCTTGCCAACTCGCTTGCGGGTCCCCGAGCCATGCTCGTTGCCGTTGTCACACAAGCGTTCGGTGCAGGTATGGGCAGGGATGTCAGTGTGGGTTGGCTTGGCTTCAAGTAGGCTTGGGCATTTTACCCGAACGGGTCGGGTTACCCGACCGGACCCGACCTTTTTGGCGGGTCGGGTATTTAGTTCTGATTGGACTACCCGGGCGGGTCGGGTATGTATACCTGCGTCGGGTAACAGATACCTGATACCTGACCCGGGTGTTCAAACACGGGTACTTGATACCCGATACCCGACCTGGTCAAACATTTGTGGCTTGCAAAATGCCGTAAGAAGCGCCTAACTATACATTTTCAACTAAGAGTTTAGGTAATTAAAGGGAGCGAGCCATCACACTGTGTGAAATGTAAGATAAATAAAATTTCAATCACATTGTCTTTCCGGGTTTACCCGGCACGACCTCAGGTATACCCGACCCGACCTCGGGTTATAAATACCCGAGGTGTACAAAGCGGGTCAGGTAACTAACCTGACCCTAAATACCCGAGGTCGGGTATACCCGACCCCCGACCCTACCATACCCTCGGGTAGCCTGAAACGGGTCGGGTCGGGTCGGGTCGGGCCAATGCCCAAGCCTAGCTTCAAGCCTTGGTGTTACGGGATTATATTGCACATTTCCATTCTAGAAAGTTCCCTTCTCGCTGTCGTTTGACAATTCGTGCCTGGGATTCCTCCCATTTTGTTCCCCTTACTCCTTCCTCCTTGCTCCTTCTTTGCTGTCCCCTTGCTGGCATTCCTGGGCTACAGGCACGGTTCTTTACATTGCGATGTTGGAGCTTGTGGAGAAGCATTCAGGCGCCCAGGGGTCAAGCATACTGGATCTGTTGCTGCTGCTCGCAGGGGTGGGCATCATGGCAGCGGTCGCTGCCTATGTATAAATTTGCAGAATCGAACACCTTGTTACATGTAGATGTGGAGGTCCTACTGCGGATGGAGCCAATTTTTGTGAATGGATATAGAAGTTAATGTAAAACCTGGACAGGATCATGAAATCTTCCGGTTAGACATTTTCTCCTGGCGAAGCGGCTTGTACCGCGGAAAAGCACATTGCTGTGTCAGCTTCGGCGCTTCCCAGCGTGTCAATACGCAATCCTTGCCGCGTGTGCGCCAGCTGCCACGAACCATCCCCTCAGCCGAACTCCTCCTCAACACGGTCGAAGAGAAGGGGGAAACATTCCCCCGCGCTGCTGGTCCCCGTGGTTTTGCCGCCAATAGCTTCGCGACAGTAGCTCCACCAACCCAAGACCACTGTTTCGTGTACGAAGCTTCAAGCTGCTGCTACGAGGCTTCGCGAAGATTCGTTTATTCGGTAACGCGTTTCCGACTCCGAACGCGTACATTCTGTGGGGTGCGGGGCAAGTCGGGCGCTGAAGCCCACCGCATGCATGGGCGCATATTTGGGATCTTGGATTGTGCCATGCAAGATAAATGGAGACACGAGAAATTAGAATTCTTTACCTAGGACCCAGTCAGAGCCACATTTAGCGGATTAGGGACGAGCAGCACAGCCAGCCACGCAGGTAGTGCCTAACCGCTCTCCTGTCGTATTCCTTCCGGGCGACTCTTGGAGTCCCTGAAAGTCGCTTCAGCCGGTTGACCAGCGACTTTGCGATTCTACCAGCTTCGCACGCATTTTGCGCTGTGCTCCCCCCCCCCGCGCGCGTCCTTTTCTCCTTCTCCCTTCCCAGTCGGGGCTTCCTCATCCAGTCTAGCCAGATGCTGCGTGTGTCCGCTCCTCCCTCGCGCTCTCTCCTCGCCCCGGAGTCGCTAACTACAGCAGCGAAGCTCACCGTCGTCGCGTCGCGATCTCTCTCCGCCTGGCAGCCCCACAGCGCAGCAGCAGCAGCACAGGAGCCTCCTAGGCGTCATCTGCGCAGGAGCACCGGAGCTCCTTATTTTACTCGTTTACCAGATCGATCGTCCGGTGCCGCAGCGACCGCGTCGCTTCGTCTAGCTCTCACCGGTTCCTCCGCCACTCCGTCCCACGCTAAGTCTTCCTCCCTGTCCTCCTCTTGCTCCTACGCGCCTCGCTTCGCCTGTACTTCCGCGGTTGTTTCTCGCGCTCGTTCCGCTCCCCACTCCACCGCTCCCCTCGCATCCACCAGCGCCAGTACCGCGCCCGCCATGGCTACCAAGTCCGCAAGAGCCGCGGAAGCGCTGCAACGCGTTAAGGACGCTGGCCTGTTCCGCGACCAGTGTCTTATCGGGGACAGCTGGGTTGGACCTCGTGACGCCGGCCCTACTATGGACGTAGTTAATCCCGCCACGGGGGACCTTATAACGCGTATCCCAAATCACGGGTACGACGAGACGCGCCAGGCCATCGCCGCCGCGTCCGCTGCCTTTCCTGATTGGTCGTCGCGCAGCGCGAAGGAGCGCGCCGCGGTGTTGCGCAAGTGGTACGATCTGATCGTTGCGAATCGCGAGGAGCTCGCGCTATTGATGACGCTGGAGCAGGGCAAGCCGTTGGCCGAGGCGCGCGGCGAGGTCGACTACTCCGCGGGATACGTGCAGCTCTACGCGGAAGAGGCGACGCGGACGTACGGCGATATCATTCCCGCGCCGCTGGCGGACAGGCGGATTCTGGTCCAGAAGCAGCCGGTGGGGGTAGTCGCAGTAATTACCCCGTGGAACTTCCCCCTCGCGATGATTGCGCGCAAGGTCGCGCCTGCTTTAGCGGCGGGTTGCACGGTTGTCGCCAAGCCGTCGGAACTCACCCCGCTCTCCGCGTTCGCGCTCGCGGAGCTGGCGCTTAAGGCGGGCGTGCCGCACGGGGTGATTAACATCGTCGTAGGCGACGCGCCGCCAATCGGACAGGCAATCATGGAGAGTTCCGCGGTCCGAAAGCTGAGCTTCACTGGGTCTACTGCCGTGGGGCGGCGCCTCATGGCGGGCGCGGCGGCGACGGTGAAGCGGGTGTCTTTAGAGCTCGGGGGCAATGCGCCGTTCATAGTCTTCGACGATGCTGACGTGGCGGTCGCCGTGAAAGGGCTGCTCGCGGCCAAGTTCCGGAACGCGGGGCAGACGTGCGTGTGCGCGAATCGCGTTCTGGTCCAGGAAGGAATCTACGACGAATTCGTCGCCGCGGTCAAAACAGCCATGGAGCAGCAGCTAACTGTAGGATTCGGGCTCGAGGACGGGGTGACTCAGGGGCCGTTGATCAACCAAGCAGCTGTGGAGAAGGTTCAGAGCCATGTAGACGACGCGGTGAGCAGAGGAGGCAAGGTGCTGCTAGGAGGCTCCATAGCCCACCCGTCCTTCCTCTCCGCCCCGGCCGGCGAGCTCCCAGAAAAACTCCCTGGGTGCTTCTTCCAGCCGACACTCGTGGTAGATGTGCCTTCGGACTGCCTGTGCTTCCAGGAGGAGACATTCGGGCCGCTGGCTGCTGTTCACAAGTTCTCCTCTGAAGCTGACGCGCTGCGCATTGCGAATGATTCCGAGTTTGGGTTAGCTGCGTATGTGTTTTCGCGGGACATGGGGCGGTGCTTCACGGTGGCGGAGGGGCTACAGGCGGGGATTGTGGGGGTGAATGAGAGCGCGATCAGTACTGAGGTGGCGCCGTTCGGCGGGGTGAAGCAGTCGGGCATGGGGCGCGAGGGATCGCGGTATGGGCTGCAGGACTACATGGATCTGAAGTACGTGTGCCTGGGGAACCTGAAGTGAGAGGAATGGTGGAATGTGGATTGAGCGCGCTTGAGGTGGCGGTAGCGATGGCGCTGGGTGTGGTGGGGCCGTAATACGGGCTGCAGGATGTCACGGATCTGAAGTATGTGTGCCTGGGGAACCTGAAGTGACAGGTGAAGAATTTGGAGTGAGCAGGGGGCGGTGGTTGTGGATTGGGGCCGGCTTGGATTGCAGAGGTCCCGGTTGCAGGATCTTGAAGTAGGTGTGTGTGCCTGAGTGAGAGGTGGGAGCTTGGAGAGGAGAGAGCGAGCAAAGGGGATTGTGTAGGGTGTGTGATCTGGGGGGGACCTGATTTCAACGGTGTTCGTTGTGTGCGGCGTGCGGGCTGTGGTGGATGTGGGCGTTAGCGCTGGTGTGGTGGTGCAAGCAGATATGGAGGTTGTGCTTGCTTTGCTGCTGTAGGAGTGTGGTCGGCTCCTGTTCGTGCCACCTTGTAGCCCAGTCATTTGCCTTATTGACTTGTGTTGTGAAGCTTTCGTTGCTGTAGGTGTAGTTTCTGCTGGTACAGTACCTCCCTTTGTTTCTCCACCTATCGATGCATTTTACGGTACCGTAATCAACTTGTCATCACTGTCAAGTGTTCTGAACAATTTCAGCACTTACTGCCTGCAGCAGGGTTGCACACGCACATGTACCGTACCAGGGGCCCATTACCTCAGTTGCCATACACAGGCTACTACTGGATAGCACTATCAAAGTCTTATCCAAGCATAATCATGAGTACGGTATGAGTACCATAAAACATCGTGCTCCGTGGTCACTACACAAGCACAGAAGAAACTGTTGGAAACAATAAGTCTTAGTGCGCTTCTGTCGTGTCAAAACCCAAGACACTAGCGAAGCAGTCCGAATCGAAGCATCGAGTCAAACCTCGGAGGTTAGGGTAACCGCCTGGAGGTTACGGGAAAGTCAAAGGTCAGCGACCTTTGACTCGACAATTACAGCGCGACAGTTAAGGACACACAACTGACTCGTTACAGAGCAGTTGCCCGAGTCGCACTGTATCGGATCGCAACAGCAAATACAGTTATCTATCCATTCGTATTCCCTGTACTCTTATATAAAACCTTGTATTTGCTTGTTTAATTCAATCCACTTTGCTCTCACACACTAGTGCAAGGTCGGTTCACAAACTTCATTAAACGCTTCCGCTATTACAAATATCCAACCCAGAGTTATCCTCTGCAAAGATCCTTAAGGGCTTTCTCAGCCCAACATGGTATCAGAGCTGACAGGGGAAAACTCTAACTTTTTTATCATTACAAGACATGGCAACAAACAAGGAAAGGAGCTCCCCTAATGGCTCCTCGGGCACTACTCCTACTCCACCGCCAGCCTCTGGCCTGCAGACAGAGGAAGGCACGGCAGCAAGACCAAGGGGAACGTCAACCGAGACCCCCACGAACCATCCTTCTGACTTCGACCAGAGCATGATGGAGAAATTCTTCTCCTTCATGTCCTTCTACGAGCAACACCAGCAGTCGGGACCTGCACAGACACACAACAGCAACAACGGAGCGACACCCATCAGCCTTGACGGATCGTCATATGCGCGAGGGAATCAACAGCAGCAACCCACCTTTGCCCCGTACAAGCGCGGGTCGATCAGCTTCCTGCCTCAACCTTCACCTGCGCAAGACAAACCAATAGACGCTTTACAAGTTCAGTCACAATTCGCGCATGTCCTGAAACTGCAAACATCAAGACCCTTCGACGGAAAGGACTTCTTCACCTGGTCCTTTGAATTCGAGCTGATGATGGAGGTGTCAGATTTATATGACATAGTTGCTGTAGGCTATAGTGGGGTAGCACATATGGGGTACAGGGTTTCTAGGGTTGTATTTGTACCCAATCTTTCCTTAGTCATTTCATTCCTGCTTACTCATTTCACATGGTATCAGAGCGGGTTCCCTGTGGAACTCTGCCTAGGGCCCACCGAAGCGCGCCCCGAGGCGCGCTCAACTTTTTTTTCCGCTATCGAGCGACCCTCCGTGTCGCCTCCCTCCCACACGCGGCCCAGCCGCCCGCTAAGTCGCGGCCCCAGCCGCCCGCTACGATCGCGGCCCTTCGCGTCGTCAGGGACCACTTTCTCGCAGTCTGTCCCACCACCCTCACCGTCGACCTCCTCGAGAAGGCCCTCCTTGCAGCGGAGAAGAGCATAGTCGCTGTAGGTGCTTCTCGTGGTGACCCTCGCACCCCCATCTTTGAGGGGTGCTCTCCTTCCCCCTTGCTGCCCTCTGTTGCCTCTGCTGTTGCTGCCGACCTGCTTGGTCTTGAGTCGGTCGGCGCGGCGTTTGCCCCTAGTGGGAGACGTCGCTCCAGCAAGGGCAAGGGGGGCAAGGGCGCGGGTGGAGCTGGAGGGGGCGGTGGCGGTGGCGGCGGTGGCGGCGGAGGGAGTGGGGGTGGCGGCGGGACTAGTGGCGGGGGTGGTGGTGGTGGTGGTGGCAGTAGCGGCGGAGACGGTGGTGGTGGTGCCAGCGGTGGTGGTGGAGGCAGCGGCGGAGGTGGAGGCGGCGGAGGTGGAGGCGGTGGAGGCGGCAGCGGAGGAGGCAGTGGTGGTGGAGGAGGTGGAGCTGGTCGGGGTGGTACCCAGCAGCGTAGCGGCGGTGGTGGTGGCCAGCGCTCGCACCGGCAGCAGCAGCAGCGCTCGCGGGACATCCCTTCGCCTCAGCAGCTTCGTGAGTGGTACGCTGGGCGTCAGAGGGGTGGGGGTACTGGTCCCTGCACCTACGTTCTTCGTTCCGGCGACCGCGCGGGTGAGCAGTGTGGGGGTGCCCACGCCACCCAGCGCTGCTTTGGCCGCCTGACGGACGCCTGGCGTCAGCAGTTCCCTGGGGCTAGTGAGATCCCTCGCTGGGATGAGCTTCTCAGGGCTGGTGTAGCGATCTTTGATCTTGATTTTGATGCTATCCTTACTGCTATGTATGTTGTGGATTATAGTGAGGAGAATGAGGGTTACCGTTGTTTCCAGCCCGACCCGGGCATTGGTACTGCTGCGCTAGGTGCTTGTGAGGCTGCTGCTCTAGGTGCCAGTGCGTCTGCGCTCTCAGGTACTGGTGAGACTGCGCTCTCAGGTACTGCGTCGTCCTCGTCCTCCCTCACTTTCACACTTGACTCCGGAGCTTCTCGCTCCTTCTTTCGAGACCGCACTACCCTTACGCCGCTCGGCCGGCCGGTTGCAGTCTCCCTTGCTGACCCCTCTGGAGGTCCTGTCCTGTCTCACTTCTCCACTGTCCTCCCGTGTCCGGCTGCCCCTTCGGGCACCCTGTCGGGTCTGTACCTTCCCTCGTTCTCCACGAACTTGGTGAGTGGAGCGGACCTGCAGGATGGGGGTGTTCACCAGTTCACTCCTGCGAGTCAGCGGGTGACCCACTGCACGGAGGCACGCACAGGCCGACACCTGGCCACGTTCTCGCGTCGGCCGGGGTCGAGTCTCTACACCCTGACCGTTGAGTCTCCTCCTGTCCCTGCGTCTGGTCAGGTGGCTGCGTCGGGTCAGGTACTTGCTGCTGCGTCCCGGTCAGGTCCTGAGTCTGCCCCCTGTTCTTGTCGCCTCCTGTCTCACGAGACTCTCCTGTGGCACCACCGTCTTGGCCACCCCTCCTTGCCCCGTCTTCGGAGCATGGCTTCCCGTGTCCTTGTCTCTGGTCTTCCCCAGTCTCTCCCTCCTCTCCCCTCCGGGCCAGGACCTTCCTGTGTCCCCTGTGTCGAGGGTCGCCTCCGGGCTACTCCTCACTCCTCCCACTTCCCCCCGACAGAGGCTCCCCTGCAGACGCTTCACATGGATGTGTGGGGCCCAGCCCCCGTCCGTGGGCAGGGTTACGAGCGATACTTCCTGTTGGTGGTTGACGACTACTCGCGTTACACCACAGTCCTCCCCTTGCGCAGCAAGGGTGCGGTCACTGAGGTGCTGATCGACTGGATCCGCGAGGCTCGTCTCCAGCTCAGGAAGAGCTTCGGCTCGGACTTTCCTGTTCTGCGTCTGCACTCTGACAGAGGCGGAGAGTTCTCTTCTCGCCTTCTGCGAGACTACTGTCGTGCACGGGGGATCCGCCAGACCTTCACGCTTCCGGACTCACCACAGCAAAATGGGATTGCTGAGCGCCGCATTGGCATGGTCATGGATGTCGCTCGTACGTCCATGATGCATGCGGCTGCCCCCCATTTTCTGTGGCCGTTTGCGGTGAGGTACGCGGCGCATCAGCTCAACCTTCACCCCCGGGTCTCTCGGCCTGCGATGTCCCCAGTCTTGCTGTGGACGGGGAAGGTTGGCGATGCGTCTGTGTTCCGTGTCTGGGGATCTCGGGCGTTTGTCCGCGACTTGTCTGCGGACAAGCTGTCCCCTCGTGCTGCTCCCTGTGTCTTCCTTGGCTTCCCCACTGACGCCCCAGGGTGGCAGTTTTACCACCCCTCCTCTCGTCGTGTTCTGTCCTCCCAGGACGTTACGTTCGACGAGTCAGTCCCCTTCTACCGTCTCTTCCCCTACCGCACTCCTTCCCTCCCCCCTCCCCCGGACTTCCTTGTGCCGGTTCCCCCCCCGGTAGACCCCCTCCCCCCTCAGGTTCCTGCCCCCTCAGGTGTGTCCCAGGTAGACGCCGTTGACCCGGTCGAGGTTACTGGTGACTCTGGTGCTGCTGCGGGTGCTGAGCTTGGGGGTGCTGACTCTGGGGGTACTGTGCGCGGGGGTGCTGAGCCTGGGGGTGCTCCTGCTGGGGGTGCTGGGCCTGAGGGTGCTACTGCGGTGGGTGCGGAGCCTGGGGGTGCTGAGCCGGGGGGTGCTGTGCCTGGAGGTGCTGGGCCTGGGGGTGCTGGGTCGGGAGCTGCTGAGCCTGGGGGTGCTGAGCTGGGAGCTGCTGAGCCTGGGGGTGCTGCGTCTGGAGCTGCTGAGCCTGGGGTTTCTCCTGCTGCTGCGTCTCGCCGGGAGCCCCTCTCTCCACAGGAGCTGCGTGAGTGGTTCGCTCGCCGCTGGAGGCGTGCTG